ACGGTTGCTACGAACATTTTTTTTACCTAGCAACGATTGCTAAAACCATTTTATACCTAGCAACGGTTGCTAAGGCCATTTCTTACCTAGCAACGGTTGCTAAAGCCATTTTTTACCTAGCAACGGTTGCTACGAACATTTTTTTTACCTACCAACGGTTGCTAAGGCCATTTTTACCTAGCAACGGTTGCTAAGGCCATTTTTTACCTAGCAACGGTTGCTACGAACATTTTTTTTGAATAGCAACAGTTGCTAAGGCCATTTTTCACCTACTAACGATTGCTAAGGCCAATTTTGTACCTAGCAACGGTTGCTAACACCATTTTATACCTAGCAACGGTTGCTAAGGCCATTTTTTACCTAGCAACGGTTGCTAATACCATTTTTTACCTAGAAACGGTTGCTAAGGACATTTTTCACCTACTAACGATTGCTAAGGCCATTTTTACCTAGCAACGGTTGCTAAGACCATTTTTTACCTAGCAACGGTTGCTACGAACATTTTTTTACCTAGCAACGGTTGCTAAGGCCATTTTTTACCTAGCAACGGTTGCTACGAACATTTTTTTACCTAGCAACGGTTGCTAAAGCCATTTTTTACCTAGCAACGGTTGCTACGAAATTTTTTTTTTACCTAGCAACGGTTGCTAAGAATATTTTTTACTGCTTTTATTAAAACAAAATAATTTAATGATTAAAAAACAATAGCGCGCGAAAGTCTCGTATTACATAAAAATTTCATTGATGAAATTCGATAAAGGGTTGAGACAAAAAGAGGTTTTTAAATGACACTTTAGCATCGTCATAAGTGTAATGTATTATATAAAGGAAAAACAAAAGGGTAAGAAAAGAGAGGGGGGGGGAAAGAGTAAGAGAGCCGCTGACGTGCTGTAAGATTGATTGGAGTCACGAGATGGAAAATTAACGGTCTAGCTTGGGTGGTCCATAAGTGGGAGGGAGAAAGGGGGTTGAAGAACGATGGAAAGAGTGTGACAGCCTCCGCATACTAATTTTTACTTTTTTTTTCTCCCCTTTTTTTTCTCTCTCTCTCTCTCTCTACCCCCTCTTTAGTTGAGCAAGCTGTACTTCCCTTTTTTAAAAAGCCTTAACACCACTTCTCTGTCCATCGATATCGGCCATTTAGTTCTAAAGCTTTTCTATCCTAACCGGGACTCAACGTATCCGATCCTGTCAAGGTTAACCCCATTCAAATCACGTTTATCTCTTTCCACCTTTTTTTTCCCCTTTTCATTTCCTCATCGACTCTCTTTTTTTTTTTTACTTTTGAAATTTTTATATTAATTCTCTTAAACTTTCATCGTTTAATTATTTTAGAAATCAATTTAATATTTTGAATGTTTTTTTTTTGGTAAAAATAAAATTAAAAGCAATTTTTACTTTTTAATATAAAAAAATGGTTTTTTTTTTCTAAATGGAAATTAAAGATTGAAAAATATTTACAAATTGTTGAAATATACGACTGCGGCGATATCGTGTATGAAACGAGAATCTATTACTATCTACAAATATACAAATTCCACGAGAGGTTCCGGATGAAATCGTTAGCACAAAGTAATCAGATCTCTGCAGATATGATGGAATTTGTTTGTCCAATAACTTGCTAAATTCAATTTCAAAACCAAAGGATCTTAATCTATTCACCAAACAAAATGGCTCATGAGAGTTTCCTCAGAGGAAATTGAAATTAACGTTAGATCTCATACTCATATCTATATATGAGGGAAGACCATTCAATGGTCACTATATCAATTTTATCAATAATGTTGAACAAATCGTATATTTTAATTATGTCGACATTTTTTTGCTAGATCACGATAATTTTTTTTGTATTTTATAGAAAACGGAATTATTCAAAAAATGATTCCAGTTAACTATGAGCGAAAAAGTTATTTTCAAATACGTGTTAATTTAGAATATATCTCAACACACTGTTAATCCACTAAGAGAGTGCGAGAGCTTGTAACAAAGGACCCGTTATCTAGAACATTCGATTGGAAATTCAAATCTGTACTACAGATTGGTCGATTTAGCATCGCCTCTCCAATCAGTCGCTCGGTTTCACAGCATATAGGAGTCTCTTCCGACGGATTAGAGGTTCTCCGCACTTCGTTTTCCTTTCATTCTCTCAATTATCGAATGTCGTCTTTTTTTTTTTTACCTATTTTTTAAATGCACGAAATTTTCCAAAGCATTCAAATCACCAATTCCAAGACTTCATTAAATCAATTCGCTAATTTCATTCAATTATTCAACCTTCAAATTTCACAATCGTTTGATCTCACAGTTTTTGAAATTCAAGTATCATTTATTCCCTCAATTTATATTCCTCAGGTTTTTGTTTAAAAAAAAAAAAAAAATGAGGCGCACGAAGGAGAAATTTTTTTTTTCCCTTAAAAAAATATATATAATTTGTAATTTTTAAGTTAGGCGCAAAGTATATATTTATGCGATTAATTTCTTGACTCGCGCCGCCAGTGAGGAAACTCTGTCTCTCTCTCTTTCTCTCTTGCAATATAGCTGGAGCCAATCATCAATCAGCCACACAAAGTTAAATGGTCGGGACAACGGGTTTTAATATCTCTCAGGGAGAAATAAAAGTTGGTGCGATAAATCAAAAGTCAAAAGTCACTGGCTAACTCACTTTACTCGCTCTCTGTCTCTTTCTCTCGAGCTGCCACTCAACCAAGAGCAAAATGGCAACTGCGAATCTCTTCACATACTCTCTCTCTCTCTCTCGCTCTCTTTCTCTCTCTCTCTTTGCCTTTTCTCTCTCAATTTTCCTTCTTTTCTTTTTCCTCTTCGAATCGACACTTTTCTCTCTAATGTCTCTCACTTCCTTCGGCAAGTTACAAAAGTGATAAATGAATTTTCTATTCGTCTCTATTTTTATATATAACTATATATATATATATATACAGCTCGACCACATTGCTCTTGAAATCGGATAATCTTCCCCGTAATAATCCCGTTGAGTGGCTCGATTATCGGAGACGGCCATATCCAATCGATTCACGAATGCAGTCAATTTGCACCATAGCGCGATTCACAGGGTACTTAACTATTTATCTGTAATTTAGAATTTTTAATTTTTGCATAAAACTCTTTTTTTAATCATAAAACAACCGCCTATGTTTAACTCAATAGAATTAAGGGGTTACACGAGTCAAAAAGGCAAAAAAAATGGATGTCTTCTTATCAGGTAACTTTTACTACCATGGTAATGGTTGTCATGGAAACGGTTCTTATGGCAACAGTTACTATGGCGTTACTATGGTTACTATGGTACTAGTTATTGTAGTATTAGTTACTATGGCAGAAGTTACTATGGCAATATAGTTACTATGGCAAAAGTTACTATGGTTACAGTTACTATGGCAGAAGTTACTATGGCAAAAAGTACTTACTATGGCAAAAGTTACTATGGCATAAGTTACTATGGCAAAAGTTACTATGGTTACAGTTACTATGGCAGAAGTTACTATGGCAGAAGTTACTATGGCAGAAGTTACTATGGTAAAAGTTACTTACTATGGCAAAAGTTAGTTACTATGGCTAAAGTTACTTACTATGGCAAAAGTTACTATGGCAGAAGTTACTATGGTTACAGTTACTATGGCAGAAGTTACTATGGCAAAAGTTACTTACTATGGCAAAAGTTACTATGGCTAAAGTTACTTACTATGGCAAAAGTTACTATGGCATAAGTTACTATGGCAAAAGTTACTATGGCAAAAGTTACTATGGCCACAGTTACTTACTATGGCAAAAGTTACTATGGCTAAAGTTACTTACTATGGCAACAGTTACTATGGCAGAAGTTACTATGGCAGAAGTTACTATGGCAGAAGTTACTATGGCAAAAGTTAGTTACTATGGCAAAAGTTACTATGGCTAAAGTTACTTACTATGGCAAAAGTTATTATGGCAGACGTTACTATGGTTACAGTTACTATGGCAACAGTTAGTTACTTTGATAACAGTTGTCATGATAACGGCACGCCAAAGCAAAACTATAAGGCATTTCGGTCCTAAGCCACAAAACCCTAAAAAAGAAAAAAAAAAATTTTTTTTTGACCCATGTAACTCCTTTATTAAGTTAATTGATAGATATAATTTTTATGATAAAATAAAATATAATTGTTTATGTAATTGTTTTTATAGATATAAACCATTCAAATTTACAATTAAGAAAATTATTCTATAACCATTAAATAAATTGAGCTAAAATGAATGAAGTAATTAGTAAATGCAAATTTAATGAATTTTACAGTGTGATGATATTTATATTTATAATATATTTGCATTTCAAATACCTATATAAAATAATAATAAATAATTCATATATAAATATATAATTTTAGATGCTAAAAGCGCATCTTTATATTATTATATTCATCACATCTTAAAAATTAAAGCATTTTAAGATTTCAATAAATTTAAAAATTCACGAAAATTATATTTTTACTATCTGTAAATAAATAACAAGATTTCGTGAAATTCATCTTTATTTTGTATGAATTTTTATAAGAAAATAAAAAATTTGTTAAAAAAAACTCAACTGAAAAAATGTCGAGTCATGGTCAAATTGGAGAAATCTGGTGGGTTGAGTAATGAAGTACGTCGGCGTGCTTTCGATCGTTTAATAGGGCAAACGTGGGTTGACGGATGTGGATAAATGTTGAAATTAGGAATAATTATTCCAGTATATTTATGGGCTCACGTGGCAAATGTACTAGTTTTACTACAGATATATATGTATATATACTGAATAAAATATGATATCCAGTTAGAGGGTGGTCCAGAAAATCGTGCAGACCAACCACGTACTTTTTGATCGCTATAAATGCCTTTCAGAGACTATAAAGTTAGTAACAGGTGACGCGCAATTCGTATATATAAAATCACATTTTCCACACAGATAAGAGAGTTTAACAGAAAGTTTAATTAAAAATAAAACTTAGGTATTTCTTTTGTTACAGAGTCACCACCTCCAAGTACCAGTCCAAGTCCGCCCACTACTGACCTTTCAAAAAAAGGTAAGATCAAACTTATAGTTTAGAAACTCAATTCTATTTATTAATAACGAGTATTAAAACAATACTTTTGTCATTTTTTTTTTTTTTTGATTGAAAAAAAATATTGAAGTATTTTTTTAATTGACGATAAATTAATGTGGTCACCTTCATTAAAGATTGACCAGGTATATGAGACAATTTGAGACTCATTATCATCCGTTAAACCCTATATCAACTATCACTATCCTTACCTGAAATCTGCGCATGTGCCAATAATTTACTGAAGATACGATAATGACGTTGTGGAATGATCTTTAACCCTTTCCATGTAACCTTAAAGTGTCTATCTGCACACTATCTGAAAAAAAAGAATTATATAGTTTTAGCCAATCTTGTTCTCAAAAATTCAGTCTGGAATTCTAAATTTGTTATTTACTTTTATTGGTATTGACAAGGGATTGTGAAAATATATATACGGGAATCCTTTTGGCATGTAATTTTTCACAATAGAAACTTTTTTAAATATTCAATAGGCGATATTGAGATTTTTTTCTTTTTTAAAATATCTTTTATAACAATATTAAAAATCAATGCATGCAAATGTATTTTGATCTTAAAAGTACTAAAGTGTCTCTCAAGATGCCTACTTTTTACAAATTTTTTATTTTAAAAGGACTAAATAAATTATTTAATGTTGTGTTGTAACAAAGGAGAAGTTTTTTTTTCAACATTTTTTTTTTTTTTTTTATTATTAAAATTAATTTCTTTTATGTTTCAGAATGGGAGGTTCTTACAGAAATGAATAATTCTGTTTATGGAAATCCCAGCTCGTTGACAATTCAAAATGATAAAAAGAAAGGTAAGTTTAAGATTATATTTTCATTGTTCTGTGGCACAATATTATATATTTTAAAATAATTACTTATGAAATAATTATTTAATCATATAAGTTATATATTAATTAACCGCATATATATAAAGTTGTACTATATATATAAAATATCCGATTTTTTAATTCTATGTTAATTTAATAGACATTTTATTTTAAATTGTAAAACAGACAAGGTAAAATTAAATTTTTTTTTTATGTGACGTTCTAGTTAACAGATTTCAAATTTATAAATTCTTAATTAACTTTTCTCGAAATACGCATTACTGAATTATTAATTAAAAAATTAATTTTAATAAAAATTATGAATACGATGAAATTTTTTTAATTAATAATAAAAATTGTTTAAACAGTGAATTTAATTCGCGAAATTCGGTCACGGAATTCGTTAAATTTTGTTGCGGAATTCGCGAAATTTGATCACGATATTCGCAAAAAGATTATTAATTCCACATAGTGTTTTATTTATGACATTAAAAGAAATGAATATTGAGCCAAAAAATATTGCACAAAAAGTTTATAATCAATGCGATGATACATGTTTTCATTATTGAGGTTTTGTTGATAAAACAATTGGTTTCATTTTGAGTTATTGATTTAACAAGGTTTACACTGCATTATTCCACGTAATAATTGGACGAATCACATGTATTTCAAAGCATTAGTATTATTGAACATGAAATTTTGCATAATTAAAAAGTTCCTTCATTATTATTCTATATCATGTACTGAACAATTCAGTCAGAATTATTAACAATTAATGATAACAAAGGAATTTTTTTTTTTTGCTTCTATTTATTCTTTCAATTTATAAGCTAAATAATTTACTTGTCTGTAAAATTGTAAAAAAAAAAATTTTTAATTAGTACCTAATACTTTTTTTTTAATTAGATTGGTTGGGGTAACCATTTTTGAGGTGACTATTTTCAGTTAGTAAACTATGCTACTGCTAATTTATTAGTTGTGGTTACTATTTTTATTTGGCATAACTATTTTATTAGTTGGTTTAACTAATTTGTTGGAATAACTATTTAAATAGTTACCTTACTAACGAAATGGTTAGGCTAACTAACTAAATGGTAACAGTAACTATAAATTAGCAAAAATATTCTTACTAACGAAATGGTAATTTATGCAAAAAGTTAGTGATTTAAATTTAGAGAAGAATTTTATTCATAATTTTAAAGAAATTTAAGGCAATTAAAAAATCTTAAAGTTAAGGGAAAAAGACAGGCATGCAGAGACGAAATAGATAGAAAAAGAGAGAAAAGGAAGAGTTTGTGATGAGAAGAGGAAGAAGAGAGAGAGAGAGAGAGAAGAGAAGTGTACAAGCTTGTTCATAACTGAACCCACGACCAGAGAGATTTTGTTCAAGAGGGGTTGTAACATCAATATTTCATATATGCTAACAACCAGAACTAATAATGCTTCAGCAAGGAAGACCCAAGAATAATATCGCAGCTTCCGTATTTCCACATTCTCTTACTCCCTCTTTCTCTATATGATTTTATCTTCTCATCTCGCTCTCCTTTATACCTTCCTCTTCACCAAGTAAGTTATACTCAAATGAAAGGAAACAGATTTAAGTGATTCGTTTTTTTTTCTAATCAATTACATTCCCTTTACTAAATTACAGAATATTTGCTTTTGATTTGTAAATCAGTATTAAAATTTTTATATGTAAGTCAACAAATAATTCTTTTCGGATCATTCTCGAATCAATTCGATTCTCTCTAAATCTGAATTAGTAAAAAATTAACTAATTCATTTAGTAAATTAAATTTCAACTAATGAATTAGTTATTTTTGGAAGTTTTACTAATAAAATAGTAAAAAATTAGTATTTGAACATTACTAATTTAAAATAGTAATCAAATTAACTAATTCTATTAGTTATTACACCCGAGTTACTAATTGAATTAGTCAGTTGAACGTAACCACTATTATTTTTATAACGTATGTCATCTTCCATGGGTTTTTTAAAAATATTTTTTTGTGTTTTTAGTATTATGTGAAACTATAGCTTGTACTCTATTCAAAATACTTTGTTTGATGCTTAAAATACTACTTTTGAAAGCATTTATTATTTTTAAATTATTGTTCTGTTTTTTTGAAGTATTATGTAATACTATAGCTTGTACTATGTTCAATATATTTTGTTTGGTGCTTTAAATATTACTTTTAAAATTATTTATTTTTCAAAAAAATTTTTTGATATAAACTAACCGTTAAAATTTTTTTATTAATTTTATTTCACCAAAAGTAACTATGTATGTGTATCTAAACTGTCTTTAAGTAAATTAATAAATTACTATAAAGTGAAAATTTTAATAAAATCTTTACTCAAAAAAAAAAAAATCGGAAATAATATATCAAATGAACCACCAGAACGTAAAAAATTTTATATGAATTTTGCCAATATTATGCAATTTAACCCATGAAAACTGACTTTTAAAAATAAAATATTTTTTATACAATCATGAAGAAACTATACATGCGAAAAATTTTATCTTTGAAACTCGACTTTTCAAATTTAAAATTTTAGTATGAATAAGTTGATAAATTTTTATTGATTATTTACGATTTGGCGGTAAAATTGTATAATGACTAATGAATTAGTAAACAATTAGTAGTTTTAACTAATCAATTAGTAATTTGCGCCCCCGGGAGCCGCATTAAAAAGTTACTAATTGAATTAGTTAAACCAAAATAACTATTTGAATTAGTAAATTTTTACTAATTATTAGTGACTCACTTTTTGCTTTTTGAATTAGTAAGATTCTACTATTAATTAGTTATTTTTAACTAATTCAGATTTAGAGAGTTGATTTGGAATATTTTTAGAATTCCGGAAAGAATTTTTCATTGAGTTATACATTTAGATTCGGATAAAATAACTGAAACGGATACAAATTGAGGAATTTTGAAAAATACAATTTTGTATTTTGTACCAAAACAAATTTTGGTAGTTTTAGAGGAATTTTTAAAGGTTTTCTTTGTCATTTTATTGAAAGGGAAAAGTGTGTGTGTGTGTAGCGCCAAGAGAGAAAGCCTCGACAACGTGGCGGTAAGTCGGTGGAATGGCTTATGTTTCTGAGGTCGAGGCACGCTGAGGGTTGAGGTTTGTAATTGGCGCAACATCTGCGGTCTGTGGGGTGGCATTAATGTTTACTCCCCGCGCCACCAACGCCCTTATATACAGATATAACCCTACAATAGGTACTATATTCACGTTTAACCACAACGATGGGAATATCTCAACACCCATGTATATGATCATGTGAGAATGTCTTTGTCCTAAACGTCTCTACTACTTAAGAGGATGGTCCTTACCCTTCTCTCTCTCTCTCTCTCTCTCTCTCTCTCTCTCTCTCTCTCCATATAGTTACAAAACTCATTTGCATTAACTTTCCCCAAATTGTTAATATAATAACATTTTATGTCAATTTTAATAAACGCCTGTAAAATTTATTATTTTAATATTTAATTAGTAGAAAAAAAAATTGAACTAAATTAAAACTTTTTATTCAAGTAAATATTTTTTTCCGTGTATTAAATTTTTAACTATGAGAGAAAAGATTACCATTTTTAGTAATGCTACTAATTAGTTGTTACTAGTTTTATTTGGTATAACTATTTTATTAGTTGGTTTAACTAGAAAAAAGCTGGTGTAATTTTTGTTGCGGGTAATTTTCTCCAATGCTAAAACCCATAAGATTTAACCCACAATTAGGCTAAAATTTGTTGCGTGTTATTTTGATTTTATTTTTCCTGTGTAGTTTGTTGGAATAAAAATTTAGTTACCTTACGAAATGGTTAGGCTGACTAACTAAATGGTAACAGTAACTATAAATTAGCAAAAAAAAAATACTTTTACTAACGAAATCGCAAATTGCCCTACCAGGGCCCTAGTAGGGAATGAAACGCTACTCCTGATCAGGGCGATCACAAAATGTGAATTTCCTAATCAGGGCCACATCAGGCGCGGTGTTTCATTCCCTAATAAGGCAGCCTGATCTGGCCCCGATCTGGGCCCTGGCAAAATTTCTGCACGGGATGTTTTTATGAAATTTGCTGCTCGAATTATTGATAACTTTAAAACAAATATTTTTGAACACTGATGTAAAAAAAATATTTCTCGATGTACAAACAAAAGTGAGAAAATTGTATAACATTTAAAAAAAAAAATCTTGTGTAAATATAGCAAAAATACATATTTCATGTAAAAAAAAAAAATTTGTTTCCGATAAAAGAAAACTTGTTTTCGAGAGTTGAAATTTGTTTTTTTTTTAAATAAACGCGTTTCTAGAGAATATAAAGGTGTTTTATTTAATTCCGCGCGAGGGTGCAAAATGAATGTCTTGGCACAATTGGCTATTTTGGTAAGGTAATTGGTGATCGTGGAGGTACTCAGTGCCATGAAATTTGTGCATTCCCGTGTGCGTTTGGCTAGGTATGCAATGAAGGGTGGAAGCTGTATACCAGGAATTGATAGGGCAGACAGACATATGCAAATCTTGGGTAAACATTAGCAGTGACAATGTTCTGTGGCACGACGAGCGGGCATTGCAACCATCGACCTCTCTCTCTCTCTCTCTGTACCATCCAAGAGAGAGTACATCACACATGCAAACGCTTCCCTATACATGTGTATATGTACGCATAGTTGCCCCTTGTTCGAACAGAGGGAACATCTTTGCAATATGGTATATACGCGGCTAAACTCCCGGATTCGACCTATACACAATTTCTGAAGCCTTCGCGCGAATATGTGCCATATTCATCATAGTGGCACGCGACTACCCCAATTCTATTATAGTCATTCAATATGTTACCTGTCTTCTTACTGAATTCAATTTCAAAATATTTCATCAAATTTTAAATTATTAGAAAATACTTTTGCCATCAAATATTATAAATAAATATATATAATTAAAAATTATTAATATCCCGTGTGTAGAAATTTCCCTACCAGGGCCCTAGTTGGTAATGAAACACCACACCTGATCAGGGACAGATCCGAGCCATGACAAAATTTCTACACGTGATATTAATTCCCGTGCAGAAATTAATCAACCTGGCCCTGACCTAGTTGAAACAAGGAACCCGACCGGGGCCAAACCAGCCCTCGATTTTAATCGGATTGTAGTAGGGCGCTGTGGCCCCGATCGGGTTCCCTGTTTCAGCACCGAAAAAAAAATCCTCTTGTTTCAAGAGGATTCCTCTTATTTCAATGCATATTTTCCTCTAGTATATACTGCAATAGGATGTCCTCTAGGTTTAAGAGGATTGTCCTCTATGTAAAATTATTCCTCTTAATTTAAAAGGATACTCTTATTTTAAGAGGAAAATATCATCATAATAAGAAGTCTGAAATAATAAAAATGCAATCATCTAATTTGTATGTCATAGATATAATCTATAAAATTAAAAGGAATAAAATTTGTTATTCCATGATTTACAACTATTTGAGTATATAAATAAATTGAAATTGATTTTAATTTTTTTGAATAAATCAACTCTATTTTTTTAATAATATTTTTATGCGCAAAACATATAATTCATTAAATTTGAAAATTTATTTAAAATAAATTTTAAATAAAATTAAAATAAATAAAAATCGTAATAAAATAAAATTTTAAATAGCATAACCTCAAAATTTTTTTGATTTTTTTAAAAATTACTTTTAAAAATTTCATTTACCTTCAAAAATAGGCACGTATTGTGTAAGTTGTATAACTCTATCAAGATATTTAAAAGATTATTATCCATTTTGTTTAATTCCTCTTTTTTCACACAGAAACTAAAACTTTTTTACGCACGATATGCGATTTATGACGCAATCATCTTTGCGAAAGAGCGACTTTCTATGGAAAATCCTCTTAGAATTTAGAGGAATATTCTTAAACATAGAAGATTATTCTAAATTCTAAGAGTATTATTTTTATTCTAAAAAGATTATTCTGAATATAAGAGGAATGCCCTAGAATAGTCTTTTTGTTTCTGTTTCTTTTTCTCTCTTTCTCTCTTTCTCTCTCTCTTCTCTGTTTCTCTCTTTTTGTTACTCTTGTTTTAAGAATAAAATTCAAGAGGATTCTGTAAGCAGAATTTTCCTCTGAATACAAGAATATTTTAGAAATTTTTTTTATTTTTATTTTGGCCCCTGCCAGGGCCCTTTCAAAATTTCTGCACGGGTTAATTTAAAGTTTTCTAAATAAATATTATTTGTTATAAATAAATATTAATAAAAAAAAAATTTACATAAAAATTGTAACAAACAAATATACTAGAATAAATTATGACATATCAGAAGGTAACTTTATTCTAAATGTAAATAAAAAAAGTTTACACGGAAAAGATAACTTCATTCTAATTTTTTGGAGGGGAAAATGTCTACTGTAACAATAAATTTATTTTCAACCGCGATGCTTTAAAAGCCTAAAAAAAAATATGTGAGATAAATTATTTTGTATTCTTTGACCGCGCAAACTTTTTAAAATAACTTTTAATATTTTTAACTATTTCTAATTTTTTCTTTCTATATGTTTATTGAACTTTTATAACAATAAAAATTTCTGAAAGAAAAATCAAGATATACACACTGCTTTATGTATAGATAATGATGAAAATTATTCACTGGAAAGATTAAGTGCAATATATACTGAATCAAAGTGGAGAATTTACATTTGTAAACTCGTTTGTGATTAAGTTTCTAACTGAAAGTCCATTGAAACTTGATTGAAATTCATCTTCATTGCATATTACGGTTATATATATATATATATATATATATATATATATATGGAATAGAATCTCGCCAATTATTCTAAAAAGCATCTCTACAGAATTTAAATATAACATTGCAGATGGTAATTAGTATAAATTATCTTTTATTCAATTGTATATTGGCAATTATATGTATGTAACGAAAAAAGCAGTTCAATTTTAGATGTCAATTATCTGAAACGGAAAATTTATAAGAAAATCTTATTCTGAGATAAATTGAATTAAGAAAACAAATTCACTTTCTTTTCTCGGTTCAAGAAAATTTTACTAGTTTGAAGTAAATCTTGAATTATGGACAAGTTAATGATTTTCTTAAATCAATAATTTTCTTTTCAAGTTTATAAAAATAAAAAAAAAAATTTTGCTAAAAATAAAATAAGTTTTCAAAATGTTTGGTATTTTTTTCATCCTTAAAATAAAATTTTCTTTATATAGAAGAAAATTAGTAAAGTTATTAATTATTAATTAGTCAATAATCAATATATAAATTTTCTATCATATGTGAAATGTATTATTAAAGTAATTTTAGCTTTTGTATATTTAGTAAACGTGTAGCCCAATTCCGGTAGAATTACTCGGGCTCGAGGGCGATGTGACCAGACCGGAACTTTGTGAAAAGCGATTTAACTTGTTTTGCTGTAACGTTGTCCCGCCGGAAAAGCTTTGTGAATTTTCTCGAGGTCATTTAGTGTATGTTGCATTCTAATCGTGAAAAGCCACCGGAAATTGACACACTTTTTGAAAGAAATATTGCCAATTATTATTAATATTATATATTATTATCGTTATAATATTTAATTATTATATTTTTTTTTGTCTATATATATATTTTTTTTTTTGTTCGTTGAGAAGAAATTTCGGTCTGACAAAAGCGCGACTCACTCTACTTGCAAAAGTGTGTTTACTTAAAGTTTCCATTCTAGTTTACTATATATTCTATTATCTACTTAACTGGCTTTAAACACAACAAAAGCATAAACATCTTTACTCGTTGACTATTTGTTCACATGTCTTTTCATAGAAAATTAAAAGGCATTAAAATAAGCTGCTATTATTTTAATCCATTTTGGTATTAAAATAAGCAAAATTAGATTAAAATAATAAGCATTACATTTTAATACCTTATAATTTTCTGTGTTTGTTTGTAAAGTCGCGTCAATTTTTATTTACAATTTACAAATAGCTTTTGAAAATGAAAATAATATTCTATAAATTATAAATATATTTCAATAAAAGAAGAAAAATTCAACTAATTTTGTTTTTTTCATTTCAGTCAGCAAGTCGCAGTCAAACTTAAATGACATTGGAAAATCTGAACAGAAATCTAATGAATTGGAGAGGAAGCGAAAAACTAAATGGGACCCCGAGACTGGTAATATTTCTTTATTAGTGTATACGAAACGTTTTTCCAATAACACAATTTTTTTTTTCTTAAAAAAGGAAAAAAAAATAATAGAATTCGAAAATAATTATTTAGAAATTGTGGAAGAATATTTTAAATAAACATTATAATTATTTTTTTTACAATCGGATAAATTAAATATTTAAAGAAAGTGTGGATAATTAAAAAGAAAAGTCTAATAAAAAATATACAATATGATATTAAAAAAAAAAAAAAAAAGTCTGTCTCTGAATTGCAAATTTAAACAAATCGATAAAGATTTAATCAATCACGAACATGATATGCATGACTAAGAGAAGTGTAACAGAAAGTAATTTAAATGCCATAAATTATTCTCGAAAGTTATCAAGTTTTATTACATACTAATTTTTGACTTTAAATTAATTTTCTTTTAATAGGAAATGATTTTAATAATAAGAAACAATTGCAAATAATCTGGAAACAAATTTAAAAACGGAAAAACAAATTATAAATAAAAAGAAACAAAAAAACAAATAAAATAGTAAAAAAACAAAAAATAAATAAAAAAAACTTAATAAAAAACAATAAATAAAAATTAATATAAACAAAATTGACAAATGAAAAAAAATTATTAATTCAGATACAATTTATTAGGGAGAAATTTTTTGTAAAGAATAAAAGTTCGAATATCTTATTCAGCGTCACATGCACACAAAGCATGGGTATCGCACCTAATGGATTCAGTTAAAGTATAAGAACTTTAGAAAAAAAAAAAAAAAAATCAACTCGCCAACTTTGAGCTAAATTAGGTATAATGTGCTCGTTCTTCGCGTCAGTATAAAGCTTTTGAAATGAATGAGAACTTCACATCCGTCGCGATTGGTCTCTCTCTCACTCTCTCTCTCTCTCTTCGCCCTTTAGAAATTCCGCGAAGCCCTCAGGGGCAATATTGGATATTTCTTTCGACGTTCATATTTTTTCCCACTGCTTTAGCGTCACCCCCCCCCCTCCCCCCTATTGGCAATTTCTTTTTAAAAGGAATTTGCTTAATGGCAAAGTGTGCAAATCCGTATTCTATGGCAATGTGCACCAGATACCCCCGAGAGGTACTTGGGTAATTCTTCGAAGAAGAAGAAAAAAAAAAAAAAAAAAGAAGAAAAAGAAAAGAAGAGTAGCATCCCCTCTGTACTACCAATTTGCCTTTGCATTTCGATATGTCTTGCGTAACCTACAGCTGTTACAGGGTACAAAAATATTCGATTTCTTTTGGTGGCGACGCGCGATTTTTCTTTTACTCAAATCACATTGTATATATTTGATCAATTCTCCTCGTGATAAGGGAATTTCAAAATCGTATTTTTTTTTGCTTCCTTTTAGAAGATAAAATAATTTTTACTCTTTTTGGGGATTTTTCTAAACATTTAATTAATATTTCACATGTTTTAATTATTGAATATATTTTAATGTAATTATGATATATTCAGTATTTAATATTATTCAAAATTTATAATATACTGAGAATTAAATATATGTATTTTATTTAAAAAAGAAATTTTTTTTTAGTATTTAAATATAAAAATTTAGTAAATCTTAGTACAGTGGAACCTCTATTATCCGAACCGAAAAACATTTTATCCGAACTTCTATTATCCGAACTATTTTTTGGTCTCCCGAATTTTAAATTTTATTTTCTCTATTTATTTTATCATTCATTCATTTCTGAGAAGAATGCGTGATGCATCTAAAAAACGAATAGAAAGCAAAATAACCAAATTTATGACAAAAAAATCTTAAAAATTTCCGAATTTTCTGAGTTTTTAATATATTATTAATTAATATTAATATTAATATTATTATTATTATTAATATTAATTAATATTAATTAATATTAATTATATGTATATACTTATGTATATTTAAAAATATATGTATTAAGTTAAATATATAGATCAACTGTACATTTTTTTAGTTTAATTATAAAAAAAATTAAAATCTCTATTATCCGAATTTTCGATTATCCGAACTCGGCCTTGCCTAGATTAGTTCGGATAATCGAGGTTCCACTGTACTTTAATAAATAGTAATAAATTATTAATTTAGTATTTTTTATTTACTTTTATTTTTTTAAAAATTTATTTAGTACTCTCTAAATCTGAATTAGTGAAAAGTAAGCTACTAATTTAAATTAGTAAGAATTTTCACTTATCATTAGTCAATTTTTTCTAAATTAGTAAAAAAAAAATTAAAACTACTAAATCAAATAGTAATATTTTACTAAAAATTAGTGAAAATTTTTACTAATTTAAATTAGTAGCTTACTTTTCAGTAATTTAAATTTAGAGAGTACTTAAATGATTTAATATATTTAATATTTAATCAATATTTCATATACTTAATTCATTTAATATTTAATGTAATTAATATTTAATAAATGTAAATAGTGCAGTGTAAATATGTCAATATTCAGACAAGAAATTGTTATATTATTATTATCAAAAATATAAATTATAATTATTATATTATAAAGTATATAAATTATATAATATATATTTATATATTTATATATTTATATATTTATTAAATTTATTCAAAATTAAATATATTTGACGATTAAACTTAAAAAAAAAAAATTAAATTTATTCTAAAAAAAATAATCATTGCCTTAAATATAAATCTCTCTTTATATAAAGAAATAATAAAAAAAACCCTCAAAAATCTACTTGAATATCACTTAAAGAAAATTTTTTTACCTAACGTGAGAACTTTGAAAGAGTCCGGAAAGCTTAATTAAACCGCTTTTCGTAAGCGCGAGTCACACGATAATTTTTTTTTTTCTCCCGCGCCTTCTTTCTCTCTATTGGAAACGACGAACTTTCATCCCGTTAAAGTCGACTTTTCGCGAAGCACACGATCCCAATTAAAATGATTTCTATGCTTAAAGGTGCGACCCCACGTGTTCTCTCTCTCTCTCTCTGTGTGTGTAAGAGAGAGCACACGTTCATAAATCATCTGTCCATTCGATGGAAAAAGGGAAAAGAGGAGTGACACCAAAAAAAAAAGGGGGAGCGGAAATGTGTGGAAAAAGTACTTGGAGAAAAGGAAACGATAAAGAAAGAAAGCTCTCCAAGAAACCAAAAAAAAATAAAAAATAAAATAAAATAAGAAAATAAAAAAAAGGAAAAGAAACAGAAAAATTGAAAACAAAGATAAATAACAGAATAATTAAAATAGGTAAAAAAAAATAGACAAAGTAAGAGAGAAAGAAATAAAATAAAAAAAAAAGAGTTGAGAAGTAGACAAAAGTAGCGAAGCGAGGAACTCCTAAGGGATGATGGAAGGAAAAGAAGGGGATTGGGGTAAATGAAGATGGGATGGGGGTGAAAGTGCGGCAAACCAGAGAGTGAAACACGAAGGGGCACGGAAGAATGGCGGAAGACTGACTCAGGGTTGTTTCTGATTCGTAATTAGAGATGAGTGAAGGCAGAGAGAGAGAGAGAGAGAGAGAGAGAGAGAGAGAGAGAGAGAGAGAGAGGAAGAAAACGCGGAGAATATATTTCTCTCGAAGCGAGTAATAGCCAAGGGGGAAGGAAGAGACCAACCGGAAGAATAACTGACTTTCTCTTGGACTCTTGAATGAGAATTCCAAGATATCTCATTCGCAAAAGCTCTCGCGGCCTGACGTTAGTTTCGCGCTTTACACCAACATTTCGCATTGTTAGATTCTCAAACCATTCTCATTGGATTCATCACAAAAACAAACTTTAAGAATGTTGTATATTTTTCGACTTTTTTTTTTTTTTTATTTTCCTTTCTTTTTCATGAAATATTCTGTTCTCGTTTATATACGGTTCATATATATATAAAATTTTGTAATAAAGAGAAAATAGAAAATATAACGAAACTAAACCAAATAAATTCACTATATATGTGAATTAAATTAAATATTTAGGTTCTTTCAGACATTGAATAAAAGATGATTAACGTTTCGATGTCCATTATCTACAAAAATTTTATTATAGATATAAATTGATCTTTTATTCAATGGCCAGCTGAATATAAATATTTAATTTAAATTTGCTTAGCAAATCATTTTCAAATTGTCAAGGTAAATTAATATCGAATGAATTAAATTACAGCAAAATTTTAAATGATAAATTAAAATAATAATTTATCAAATATAAGAGAAATTAGATTTTTTTTTGGTAATATGAAATTTAAATTTTTTTGAAAAAATTTCATTTGGAACACATTTAGATAATCGATTAAAAAACAAAAACGCTATACTGAAAAAAAAATTTATTTGATTTAAATACTCGATTACTTGAGTATTATTAAATAAATATTTACTTGAAGCAAATAATTTTTATTTGAATTAAATAAATTGTATTTGAACCAATAATTTCTGTATTTGAAACAAATATCAATTTAATTGATTCAAATATTAATAATTTGATACAAATAAATTTTTATTTGATAATAGTCAAGTAATCGAGTATTTGAATCAAATAATTTTTCTTTTTTGGTAATATGAAATAAAACCAAGACGTAAATTTAAATTTTTTTAAAAAATTTCATTTGGAACACATTTAGATAAATCGATTAAAAACCAAAAACGCTATACTGAAAAAAAAATTTATTTGATTCAAATACTCGATTACTTGAGTATTATCAAATAAATATTTACTTGAACCAAATAATTTTTATTTGAATTAAATAAATTGTATTTGAATCAATAATTTCTGTATTTGAAACAAATATCAATTTAATTGATTCAAATATTAATAATTTGATACAAATAAATATTTATTTGATAATAGTCAAGTAATCGAGTATTTGAATCAAATAATTTTTTTTGTATATATAAAGTAAATTGAAAAACGAAATTTTTTGTCAAAAACACTTTTGGAGGATTGTAGTGAGGTGAATTTTAGAATTGGATTTGGGTATCGCGTTTGCTATACCAAGAGCGAAATCAAGGCTCGTAAATTCAGGCACCATGCTGGTTTAGCGGTATCAACTGTGCAACTTGCAATCGTCGATTTTTATTTTAACCGTTGACATTTTTTTTTTTTTTTTTTTTTTTTTTTTTTTTTTTTTTTTTTTTTAGCAGTTTATATATGGGTGATTCTCCAGAAACAGGTCACTTTTGATTCTTTGATTAATTAGTTAATAAATATTATCTAGAATTGGTTTATTTTTTTTTAATTTCTTCATTTTAATGATCTTTAATAAACTCATTATCAATATAATGATATTTTACTTCCCAAAATTTATTTTGTCATCTGAAATATGCTAAAAATATACTTTTGCTCGTTCCACACATGGATTTTGCTATTTTTGAATAAGATTTTTGACATTAAAATTAAAAAAATAAAATTTGTCATTATAGTCATTTTAAAGTATGGCTGAAAAACTGTTATTCCCTAAAAGGGTTTTTAATTTTTCGTCCATTTAAATAAAAAAATGTTTATTTATAATGTTTCTTCGTAAATTTTTTTCTGGATCCGGAGTTGAGAATTTGACTAGTTTTTCGAGGTTTTGCTTGTTATTTTCATTGTAACTAAAGCAATTTTTTGATAAATATGTGTAAAAATCCCAATTGAATAAAAATCAACGGTACTAATTAACTAATTAACTTTTAAATTTATATTATTAAACAATACAATTTGCGTATTTTTATTATGTCTCAACTCCGAACCTGTTTAAAACAATCGTTTTTCAAAATAATTTTGAATTTCAACCTATAGTATCGATAAAAGTAATAAAATTGTATAAAATCCCTAAAGGATTTTTTATTTAGTCCTTAATTAACAAAGTAATTAATGTTTTTCATTTGTTTCTCAACTCCAGCTCTCTCAACTCCGGCCCCCGAAATTTTATTGAGCATGCGCAAGTTTCGCGCGAGCAGAAACGACGCCGTCATTCAGCTTTTCAGTTCCCTTGCGTTTAAGAAACTTAATTTTTTTTCTCTATTTTTATAAAAAAAAGCCGAGATAAATTTCTACAAAACAATTAATTTTTGCAAAGAAATTATTGTTTTGTTCTCGAAAAATTAAATATTAAAAATTTAATTACATGCCTGCGCAAAAACAATGGTGCCTGGGGCCCCGGCCGCCCTTGCTACGCTATTGCGCTGAAAGTACTACAATACATATTTATCGTTAAAATTACATTAAAAACGGTTTTTAAGCTCAAATATTTATTAGAATCACTTGTTCCAATCATAATTAATAAAAAGGATGCAATAAACATGTATTTTTAAATAATTTTGAAAAAAAAATTCCTTATTGAAAAGTGACCCGTTTCTGGAGAATCACCCATATACTTAAAAAGATACTTTAAACCGAAACTTTAAATGAACTTAGTAATTTAAAAAAAAAATTATTATCCAAATTGGTAAATTCTTATAGAGCTTTCTTTTTTTAGCCCAACGATAAAAAAAATATGTTGTCGTAATCAGAATTTTTAATGAGGTTTAATGCGAAGCATCACGTTGAAAAGTGGTTTTAAATACAACTTTTTTTTTCCTAGGTTTTTGATGCTTTTATGCAAAAATTTTACCTTATATATATTTAAATTTTAAAAAATTGTATCTTCTCATGATGAATTTTTTAAAACGTGGATTCATTAAAAAAATATTAAATAGAGAACTAAATGCTTTAACGGGGGAAAGAAATTGAATCATTTTTTTTTCATTCACGTCAATTAGTGAAAATATCGTAAATTCTTTTTATAAAAAAAAATATTAAAAAAATTTTTTTTTTTTTTTTTCAATCACCCAAGGGGGACTATATTTTTTTGAAATAAATGTCACATTTTTAACGACCGAAATAGATTGCTGAAGTATGGAAAGTAATATAAAAAATAAAAAATATTAAAAGCTCTAAAAAACAGTTGGGACCACAAGAACAAACTTGTGCGCTTTTTTACATCCCTGTTTTTTAAATAAAGTTCCAAAACAAAAAACTATTAAATTTTTTTTTTTTTGAATTGCAATAGTAATGTGATCTTTTTTTCTCTTATTTTTACAGCCGGTGCTGAGAAATTGACAACGAGAGGAATTTTAATTGCACTGACACTTCTAATTATTGGATTGAACCAGTAGGAAGTCACTTATGCAGAAAAAAAGGTGCAATTTTAAATAATTATAAACTATAATTTTAACCAAAAAAAAAATAAAATTGAAGAAAAAAAAATGAAAAGAAAATAAAGACTGACAGGAGTAGTTAGTGCTGTTAAAAAGTTTACACTTTATAACTTGTGCCAACAAATGGATTTCGTGATACCAATTGTGGACACTTGCAAATTATTTGCAGGAATGAAAGAAAATGTATATGTATGCTTGAAAATGAAAATAAAAATCTAAATCTAAATTAATAAAAAGTGAATAACCAATTTTAAATATACGATGTTCCACTAATTTTTAATTATATTATTATTCTTATTATATTTCATAGTTTAAGTAAAAAAAAATTAAAAGAAAATTTAGTAAAAAAAAAAAAATACTAAATTAAATAGTAATAAAGTAAAAATTAGTGAAAATTAGTAATTTATTTTTTACTAATTCAGATTTAGAGTGAGAGAGAAAGAGAGAGAGAGAGAAATGGATGAATATAAGCAAAGTGCAACGACTGTAGCCTTTAATGTAATATATTTCACAACTTGTATGTCACAGCTAAAAGTGTAACTGTAAGAATATGAACATCTGTGTGAGATTGTTTGTATGTAGGCAATGATCTTAATTAATCTGAGCTTTTCGTGTCGGTCTGCGGCAAAACAACTAGGTCACATAGAAATAAAGCTCACCAATATTTTATCACTATAAAATCGTTTCTTCTCATGTTATTTAATAATTTATTTTTTCTATTTCTATTTATTTTGAAATATATTTATTTCTTTTTTTTATAATTCGAATAATTCGTCATAAATCTATCTAAAATTGTGCAAATAAATAATTATTATTTAAAACGAAACTATTTTAAAAGTTATAATTAATTTTACGTCACTATAAATAATATTTCAAAATTTATATTTTTTTTATTTGTAAATTAATATAAAATAAATCTAATATTAATAAGAAAAAAGAATTTAATTTATAAAATTAATTTTTCATTTAGAAAGAAAAAGTTTCAAATATTTCTTATTCTTGGCTTTATTCAGTTAAATTTTTTTTTTAATTAGTATTTAAAAAAAAAAGAAAACTAGATTTTCAAAAAGGAGAAGATAACGAAAGTAAGCATAAAATCTTTTAAAAGAGATTTTTCATGTTGTGAAAAGAAATATTAGTTTTTGAAAAATTATTTTTTTAAAAATGTTTATGCGCGTATTTTTTTATCTCGAATGTATTTAAAAGTCCCTTGTCTTTTTATCCTCTAAATATGGATGTTTATATTTGGATAGAAAAAAAAGAAGACAATTTGTTATTATCCTACTTTTTAAATAATATATAGATAAAAAAAAGAAACTTAAAAATAAATTAATGTTTCAAATCCTGTAAGTGTCAATCAAAAAAAAAAAATTGCAATTTAAAAATGCATTTGTTTTTTATTTTAAACATGTGCATTTTATTTTAAAATTCAAATTATAATCAAGGAATCTAATCTTTGCTACTTTTAACAAGATTTTACATTCAATGTTTTATTATATTGTATATCAAAAGTCGTGTAATTTGTATTTAGATAAGTTATTTTCTTTATAGAGAAATGTGTTAAAATTTTTTTTCTTTTCTGAAAAGCACAATCCATCCTTTATTTAGTGTCTTTCTTGATACTCACTTTTCCCAACCCCTCAATTTTTTTTTTTTTTTTTTTTTTATCTTTCCCATACCCTCTTTCTGATTCTTCTGCTTGCAGAATTGCAGATCCCATCTGGATACTTCAGATTAAAATGTCAGATTCGTTCGAAACGACGTTCAAGCAAGTAGGGGATGAGTGAACACTGGGTCGAATATTAAAAAGTCGAATATTATAATTTGCAAACGTCTTCGATTCGCAATGACATGATCATGGAATGGGTCTTTTTGATCAAGTTTTAAAGATAATGGAAAGATTCAAATTATTTTCACACTTTGAAGATCTTTTTGTTCTTTTTTTTCTACCGTATAGGTAATTGAATAAATAACTTTTAATCAATTACAGAGTTAAAAATTTATTGATGTTGTTTTTTTAATATTACTCCACTTACACGAGAATTTAAATTATATTCTTTGGGTTTGATTTGGGAGGTTTAATTTTTCGAGATTAAAAGCACTAAAGATTCGGTACTTTTCACTTTGGAGCCATTAAACTCTATAAAGTTTGTAATTTTATAGGGCTTTAACTTTTCATCCAACTTCAAAGTAATCAAACAGGAATTACAAAAAAAAAAAAGAAAAAAAAAAAAGTCAAAAAGTTTTTCTCTCTTTACACTTCAACATTAAACATTAAAATCAATGTTATAAAATTCTTCTAAAAATCTTTCTTCACTATAAAAAAATAAAGTTTAAAAAGTTTTTTTGTTTTTCAAAAACAAGGTATAAAATTATACGTAAAAAAAAAAAAACTATCAAAATAAAAATAAAGTGAACAATTAATTAAACTTTTATGTCTCGGCCAAAAACCTGTGAAAAAGTCTTTCAACCATATAATATGTATTATTCAACATACAACCTTTTCAAGTGCAACAGGTTTCAGGCTCGAGACAATACAAGAATTTAAGGATTTGCAATGGATTAAGAAGTAACAATTTGGATTTAGGGTTTAGAAAGATCTACCATCGAGATTTTCAACTATAGAAATTGTAATTATCAAGATTTGTTGCTTATTTAATGATTTAAACTCCAGGCAAAAAAAAGACCCGTTAATCGAATAAAAAATTATTATTTAAATAATATTTTTTTTAAAAATCCTTTTATTTTTTAAATTAAAATTTAATTTTTATAATTTTATTAAAAAAAATAATAAAATATAGCGAATATTTGATTATAGATTTATTATGCTTTTCGAAAAAGTATTTTAAGATTGTGCTAATCGTAAAGTAATGTTTTAAGTACCTTGTAATCAGTTTGCGGAAAATACGACGCAATAAAAACGTGATAAGAGAAATAGAAGTTAATGACAGAATAATACCAACCACAAATTGTCAAATTACACGACTTTATACATGCTTAAAGGGTATATAAAAAGTTATTTTGTGTTTTAATTGTGTACAGATTAAAATCATTTAATTTATTAATAAGGAACATTTTTTTCTTTTTAAAAAATTAAATTAAACTAAAAATAAATAAAAAAAAACTGATAAATGTTTAACCTAATTGAAAAATGTGTAATTAGGAAACTTTTTCTTACAATTTATTCGAAAAAAAAAAAATATTTTAAATTCCAAACAGTAATTAAAACATTGAATAGATTAAAAACTATTTTATTCAATTTTTAACTTTAAATTAATTTTGTTTTCTCATATCAGGATTAAAAACTCGTTATAATAATTAATTCAGTGAATTTTTATAAAAATTTATTTCATTTTTTAGGAAATTATTTTTTTTTTATCGGTTCTCAAGAAAAGCTCAAACTTCCAAATCGAATTTTGGAATATTTGCAACTTCATCGAAAAAAAAAAAATATATATATAACGTAAAATATTGTTTTACGAATTTACAAAAAAAAAAAAATAAAAACACCAGTTTAATATATTTGAAAGAAAAAAAAAGAAAGAAAAAGGCTTTTAAAAGAATGCAATTTAAAACAGTTTTTTGTAAATATGAGTATAAATATGCGAAATATAAACTAATTATAATATTTATAGATTAGGGTTTAGCTGTAAGACAATGAAATAGCGAATCCTATTGCGAATATATGATGATTATTATTACGATTGTAAAGACAAAAAAAAATGACGGTTAAAATAAAAAAAAAAAAAAAGAAAAACCTCAGTGAAAATATTTTGACTCTAGTGTTAAGAAAAACGAATTTGACCGTCTAGTCGTTAAAACACTAATATGGAACGAATTAATGCGAAGGTATATATGTATACATATATAAATATATGAATATTGTATTAAAATTCATCGGGAGGTTATTAAAATAATGATATCGCTATATTGTATGTTAAACACGATATTATTATGATTATATAATATTATTACAACACCATTATGCTTTTGCGATGTTGAGTTGAATGTTGTTAACAAGAATGAAAAAAAAGAAAGGACCTACAAATATGTAATAAAAAATTAAGAAAACTAAAATTTTCTACAAATCATTATTTTTACCACTCCAATCCATTAAAACCCAATTTTTTTTTAATCGTTCATTAATAATTTGAAAAAAAATTTTATCACTTTATACTTTTAATTGAATCAATAATATAAAGCCAGTATTTTCAATTTGCAACATGAGAAAAATAATATTTGGATTATTTTTATTCTTTTATGAAATAAATAAAAAATATATTCGTTTATTTTTGGAAAATTTTTTTTCATATGATTCATTAAAAATCAATATTGGAAAAATTGTTGAAATTAAAAAAAAAAACTTGATTATTATTTTAAAAACATTTGTCTAGACTATAAGAGACGTATATAGGAAGAGGAAAAAAAAAAAAAAAAAAAAAAAAGAAGAGTCTATAAATTGAGGTGCGCACCAATTTCTCATTTTACAAGGAGAGAAATTGGAGACTTTCTTCCACAAAGTTTCTAACGACATGGTCGTTAAATTCTTGATGAGACAAGTTATAAGAGGGACAAAGATCGAGGAGTATTATGAATTAAATTTAACTGCAAAGTAGACTAATATTTCTGTATTTTCTTCTGCTTTTTGTTACAAAAAATATTGCTGTATACTCTGAATATTAGATTTAAATTTTCCCAGTGGGACAATTTTTTTTTTTTTTTTCATACTAATGAAATAGTAAATACGTTTCTTAGAGTTTTATTTATAAAATCAAAAAAATTTTAATTAAAGAAAAAACTGAATTATTTAATATTGTATATATTTTAAGATTTTTTAAAAAATTAAATTTAAATTCAATTATTTGTCAATTTGAATGAAATAAAATTTATTAATGTAAATATAATTTAATTTTCGTTAATTGAATTTTCAATTATTTAAAATTAAAGCGCGTTATTTTGTTACTAATTGAATTTTCTTTGTCAGAATTTATGAAAAATTTATGTAATAAAAATGGATTTTCAAATGAAATGAAATTTAATTTTTTTTCCTATATGAAAACTTGGAAAAATGAATATATATATGGACTTGTCATATGAGTTAAAGAGACACAGAACATAGAAAACTTGGTAAAGGAAAGAGGCTAACAGAATATATGTAGTTTGTAGGAAAAAGTTAGTCTCAGCTCTTCTTTCCATCATCGAAATCCCCAAAGGTTCTTCGATAACGTGGTCTTTGCCACTACTATTAACCTCTTCAGTTCCCCTGTTTCGATTCTGGAACTTTATATATTTCACAAGACTATTTTTATTTACTTTTTTTTTTATAAATAATTCTCTTTCTAAATCTTTTCCACTATTTCAAAAAAAAAAAAGTTAAGTATTATTTTATATTTCAAATTTTTTTTTTTTAGTAAAAATATTGTTTTCAATACTACTAATAAAGAATAGAAAAATGGGATTTAGAAATGAAAAATCGAGATTGAATTTAGAAAATTCATAGAGATCAGGAGGAATGAATTAGAAAAGTGAATGAAGTTTGTCGCGTTTCTGGAATTCGAATTGTAATTTCTAACCGCGTAACTCCCTATCGTGACTGGGTTCGAAATTCGTAATGGACCACACACATATATGGACTTTTCTCCATTGATTTTCCCCCGACTGCCAAAGGCAAAACAATTTGCGAGTCACACGAAATTTCATGAAAAATGATATAAAAAAAATAAAAAAATATTCTCGTTTCCATTTTAACGAGATATGTCTTTCATACACGATTTTCGTTTATATTTGTTATTCACGGCTGATGAGATTTTATATATATATATATATATATATATAAAGTTTGTTCAAAAAAAAAAAATAATTACAAATATATTTTCATTTATTTCAATTTAAAAAAAAAATTACTTGTCAATTTTATTATTTCAAATTAAATTGTCAAGAAATTAAAAAAATTCAATTAATTGGTAAACAAAAATTTTAAAAATTGAAATTTTGTAATTTAATTCGAAAATTTATTATCGGTGGGAAAATTAGAAAAAAAAAGAGAATATTGTTATTTATAAGGTCGAAGTTTGGAAATTGTAGCGAAATATAGTAAAAAAGAACGCCCCTAAAAGCGAATTACACAGTTATTGGTGCATTTGCAATGTTTGTGTCCGAGAGATAAGATTTTATATCGTTTTGAAAATACTCTTTTATTATATTATATATATATGTATGTACTTCATGGGCCAGAAGCAAAGTTGCAATTTCCCGGAATTTAAATCTTTCCAAATCACATCTGGCTCCCTTGAATCTCAACCTTAAGTATACAAATAACGTAACTTCGAATGTACTTTGCTAAAACTCTAAACTTAAATAACCTTTCATATAATCCTAGCGTATATATATATGTATAACTAAAAATCGTACAAAAATAAATAATTTTCTTAGTTTGAATATTTTTAAATAAATTTCTTTTTTAAATAGCAAGTCACTTTAAAATTTTTTTAAAATAAATTGGCAATTTAGAAATAAAATGAATAGATATAAATAAAATAGTGTCATCTGTGTTTGTATTGCATTCTATAAAATTAAATTCCAATGTCTAAAGTTTCAAAGAAATGTATTTAATCCAGAAAATTGTTTACTTCTATACTTTCATGGAGGTAATGCGAACTTGAGAAATTTACGATGTTAAAGAAGTTGCGATGGGGTACTTACGACTTCCGTTACACAAGGACTTACTGGTAAGTGCATGCAGTTCAGCAAAGTTACCCCCCTATAGGAAGTTGAGGTGTAATCCGTGAAGTGGTTCTTTAGAAACGCAGCTAACAACTGTATCACGCACTCTGCAAAAAAAAAAGAAAAAATAGTCCATTAATTATTTTTCTCAATTATAATTTAATTAAAAAAAATAAAAATTGTATTTTTTCAAAATTATTAAAATTAAATAAATTTTTTCTAATTGTTGTTTCACTAAAATAGAGAAAATTTTTCCTATTTTCTTTTAGATAGACATTTCAAGAAAATAACTAAAAATAAATTTTCGTTTATTTAGTTATTTTTGTTCATTTTTTTGTAAATGAAAAAATTAGAAAGTAAAAAATTTGTTTACATGCTTTTACGGAATTTTTTCTTTTTTTTTTTTGCGAAATCGAAGAGCATAGATTTCAGGGTTGTGACATAAAACAGTCTTAACTCTGTTAAGTACGCGCCCACACCGACCGTGTCTTATCGAAGGAACCCTGTTTTGATCCTCAAGTTACCGTGCCGTGGCATAACAATTACCCTATTATTTTCCATTCTCTCTGACACTTGTGAGAGCCTATGCCAGCCATTTTAAACCCATGATATTTTCTGTTTTGCAGCTTATGTGATAACTGATATAAAAAAAAAAGAAAAAAGATCGAATATCGTTCCGAGGGTAAATACAAATTTTTATTTTAATCTGCCATTGAAAAATATTGACTACAAATTTTTATTATTTTCCTCATCTTTTTTTTTCTTATATTATTATAGAATTTCTATTTTTAAATGACAAAAAATTTTTCACGCAAATAAAATTTGATTAAAAATATAAATTAATAAAAGTACCAAAAAATATAAAAATGCATTTTAGAGAGTAAAAGTTTTCAATCAGCTTTTAAAAAAGAAGTTTTAAATCAAAGTAGACTTTAATTCGCTCGAATTAGAAGAGAAATTAGAAGCTTTCTAGGGAGGGATCACGGAAAATCTCTTCGTCTTGAGAAAGTCCATCAGATGCGAGAGAAAAAGAAAAAAGATAAACTCTTTAAGAGTTTCGAAGAAACGCTTAGATGTACATATACCAACTTGACGAAGTTACTTTAGGAATACTGGATGCTGTGCGATTTGAAAGCGCACGTTCATCGCTTTAGAGCAAAATAAATAGTTTCAAAAAATTTTTCCTTATAAAACATTCTTTTAATTTCAATGAAAGAAACATTAATTTAGTTAAAATTTGCTTTCCCTAAATTATTTTCTATATTATGATGAGACAATGGAATATATTTTTCTCGTGAAAAAAAATTTTTTTTCAGAATAATAGAGACAAATGTTATTTGTCAATTTAGCCCCTTTGCAATTCGAATACAATAAAAAAAAAAAAAAAAAAAAAAATTACAATCAAAAAATTTTATGAATCTTAAAGACGTGAAAAAAAATTTCATTTCGTGGTTTGCTCTTTTGGACAGTGATAAATTCGAATGAAATGCCAGACAATATGAAATTAATCACAATTAGCTTGCTATTCATTCAAGTTCCGAGAAAGTTTTCCCAAGCTCTTTCCTCTGAGTATAATAATTAGGTGCAAAATCCTATGCCAGTTGAATTTACAAAATTGTGTGCGGATTAAAATGACTAAACTTTTTTTTTTTTTTTTTCTTTTTTTTCTTTCTTCTAACAATATTTCTAACGAAAGACATATTCATTTTAAATTAATAATTCAGTAAAAATTAATTGTAAAACAATTTGTGAAATATTTAAACGTAATGAAAAGGCTTTTATATAAATTTTTTTTTATAAAATAGACAATTATTTTTATTTATATAAAAGAACTGTTCTCTGATACAAGAAATATACTTCATTTTCAAAGTTGTTGTTGGGCCATCTGGCAGTATTGCTACAAGTTGAAATGGCCATTGTATGAAGGTTCTTTTGGATCAATGACAGGTGTTTTTCTATATATATATATATATATAAAGAAAGTGTAATAACATAAAAAGGACAGTAAAAGTACATTAGGAGAGAGAGAAAACACGCGTTACGCATCTTTTCTTACTCAAAAGTAATTGGTTGTGATCAACAAAAGTAATCTATTATTATACCAAAAGTTTTCTTTTACTTTCTCTCCAAAGATATAATAATTGCAAAATTGCTCTATATATTTTTCCCATAAAGCTATAGTTCATAATATATAGCAGTAATGGAGTTGGATTCTAACTTTTATTTCTCAAAAATAAATAAAAGTAATTTCACTTTATAGGAAATAGATTTTCTATATACGTATTTGTTCCAAAAGAACGAAATATAAATAAAAGATAAAGTTATAATAAAAATATATAAACTAAGATAATAGATTATTTGCTTAAACAAAAAAAAAAACTTTTATAAAAGATATTTTTATTTTCCATGTGTAAATCAATAATATTCCACTGTTTTCTTATTAAAAAAATACTTATTTAAAATACATTGAAACCCACGTATATCGCATTTCAAGGGACCGAAAGAAAAATTTTATGTAAGCGGGATACAAATAATAATAAAAAAATTACCGATACAGAAATTTACCTTATCGACTGATGGTAAAAAGTTTTTTAAAAAATAACATATAAAAATTTCCGGCATAGAAATCTACCTTACTGACTGATGGCAAAAAAGTTTTGAAAAATGAGAAAATTCCATTACATTTTTACTATCAGTCAGTAAGGTAGATTTCTGTGTCGGTAATTTTTAATATTTTTATTTTTCAAAAATTTTTACTATCTGTCATAAAAAGGGTCTTCCTCTACTCGGATCTGGGTGTCAATTTTTTTCTACACTTTTCGGTGTATTTTGTGCAAGAAAATGCAATAAAATCGTCTGCCTAAGAAAAATTGAATTTTTTTGGTCAGTTTTTTTGCTTTTGGATGCGTTTTTGGTCATAAAAAGGGTCTTCCTCTACTCGGATCTGGGTGTCAATTTTTTTCTACACTTTTCGGTGTATTTTGTGCAAGAAAATGTAATAAAATCGTCTGCCTAAGAAAAATTGAATTTTTTTGGTCAGTTTTTTTGCTTTTGGATGCGTTTTTGGTCATAAAAAGGGTCTTCCTCTACTCGGATCTGGGTGTCAATTTTTTTCTACACTTTTCGGTGTATTTTGTGCAAGAATATGCAATAAAATCGTCTGCCTAAGAAAAATTGAATTTTTTTGAAAGATTTTTCTGCTTTTGGATGCGTTTTTGGTCATAAAAAGTGTCTTCCTCTACTCGGATCTGGGTGTCAATTTTTTTCTACACTTTTCCGTGTATTTTGTGCAAGAAAATGCAATAAAATCGTCTGCCTAAGAAAAATTGAATTTTTTTGGTCAGTTTTTTTGCTTTTGGATGCGTTTTTGGTCATAAAAAGGGTCTTCCTCTACTCGGATCTGGGTGTCAATTTTTTTCTACACTTTTCGGTGTATTTTGTGCAAGAAAATGCAATAAAATCGTCTGCCTAAGAAAAATTGAATTTTTTTGGTCAGTTTTTTTGCTTTTGGATGCGTTTTTGGTCATAAAAAGGGTCTTCCTCTACTCGGATCTGGGTGTCAATTCTTTTCTACACTTTTCGGTGTATTTTGTGCAAGAAAATGCAATAAAATCGTCTGCCTAAGAAAAATTGAATTTTTTTGAAAGATTTTTCTGCTTTTGGATGCGTTTTTGGTCATAAAAAGTGTCTTCCTCTACTCGGATCTGGGTGTCAATTTTTTTCTACACTTTTCCGTGTATTTTGTGCAAGAAAATGCAATAAAATCGTCTGCCTAAGAAAAATTGAATTTTTTTGGTCAGGTTTTTTGCTTTTGGATGCGTTTTTGGTCATAAAAAGGGTCTTCCTCTACTCGGATCTGGGTGTCAATTTTTTTCTACACTTTTCGGTGTATTTTGTGCAAGAATATGCAATAAAATCGTCTGCCTAAGAAAAATTGAATTTTTTTGAAAGATTTTTCTGCTTTTGGATGCGTTTTTGGTCATAAAAAGTGTCTTCCTCTACTGGGATCTAGGTGTCAATTTTTTTCTACACTTTTCCGTGTATTTTGTGCAAGAAAATGCAATAAAATCGTCTGCCTAAGAAAAATTGAATTTTTTTGGTCAGTTTTTTTGCTTTTGGATGCGTTTTTGGTCATAAAAAGGGTCTTCCTCTACTCGGATCTGGGTGTCAATTTTTTTCTACACTTTTCGGTGTATTTTGTGCAAGAAAATGCAATAAAATCGTCTGCCTAAGAAAAATTGAATTTTTTTGGTCAGTTTTTTTGCTTTTGGATGCGTTTTTGGTCATAAAAAGGGTCTTCCTCTACTCGGATCTGGGTGTCAATTTTTTTCTACACTTTTCGGTGTATTTTGTGCAAGAAAATGCAATAAAATCGTCTGCCTAAGAAAAATTGAATTTTTTTGGTCAGTTTTTTTGCTTTTGGATGCGTTTTTGGTCATAAAAAGGGTCTTCCTCTACTCGGATCTGGGTGTCAATTTTTTTCTACACTTTTCGGTGTATTTTGTGCAAGAAAATGCAATAAAATCGTCTGCCTAAGAAAAATTGAATTTTTTTGGTCAGTTTTTTTGCTTTTGGATGCGTTTTTGGTCATAAAAAGGGTCTTCCTCTACTCGGATCTGGGTGTCAATTTTTTTCTACACTTTTCGGTGTATTTTGTGCAAGAATATGCAATAAAATCGTCTGCCTAAGAAAAATTGAATTTTTTTGAAAGATTTTTCTGCTTTTGGATGCGTTTTTGGTCATAAAAAGTGTCTTCCTCTACTCGGATCTGGGTGTCAATTTTTTTCTACACTTTTCCGTGTATTTTGTGCAAGAAAATGCAATAAAATCGTCTGCCTAAGAAAAATTGAATTTTTTTGGTCAGGTTTTTTGCTTTTGGATGCGTTTTTGGTCATAAAAAGGGTCTTCCTCTACTCGGATCTGGGTGTCAATTTTTTTCTACACTTTTCGGTGTATTTTGTGCAAGAAAATGCAATAAAATCGTCTGCCTAAGAAAAATTGAATTTTTTTGGTCAGTTTTTTTGCTTTTGGATGCGTTTTTGGTCATAAAAAGGGTCTTCCTCTACTCGGATCTGGGTGTCAATTTTTTTCTACACTTTTCGGTGTATTTTGTGCAAGAAAATGCAATAAAATCGTCTGCCTAAGAAAAATTGAATTTTTTTGGTCAGTTTTTTTGCTTTTGGATGCGTTTTTGGTCATAAAAAGGGTCTTCCTCTACTCGGATCTGGGTGTCAATTTTTTTCTACACTTTTCGGTGTATTTTGTGCAAGAAAATGCAATAAAATCGTCTGCCTAAGAAAAATTGAATTTTTTTGGTCAGTTTTTTTGCTTTTGGATGCGTTTTTGGTCATAAAAAGGGTCTTCCTCTACTCGGATCTGGGTGTCAATTTTTTTCTACACTTTTCGGTGTATTTTGTGCAAGAATATGCAATAAAATCGTCTGCCTAAGAAAAATTGAATTTTTTTGAAAGATTTTTCTGCCTTTGGATGCGTTTTTGGTCATAAAAAGTGTCTTCCTCTACTCGGATCTGGGTGTCAATTTTTTTCTACACTTTTCGGTGTATTTTGTGCAAGAAAATGCAATAAAATCGTCTGCCTAAGAAAAATTGAATTTTTTTGGTCAGTTTTTTTGCTTTTGGATGCGTTTTTGGTCATAAAAAGTGTCTTCCTCTACTCGGATCTGGGTGTCAATTTTTTTCTACACTTTTCCGTGTATTTTGTGCAAGAAAATGCAATAAAATCGTCTGCCTAAGAAAAATTGAATTTTTTTGGTCAGTTTTTTTGCTTTTGGATGCGTTTTTGGTCATAAAAAGGGTCTTCCTCTACTCGGATCTGGGTGTCAATTTTTTTCTACACTTTTCGGTGTATTTTGTGCAAGAAAATGCAATAAAATCGTCTGCCTAAGAAAAATTGAATTTTTTTGGTCAGTTTTTTTGCTTTTGGATGCGTTTTTGGTCATAAAAAGGGTCTTCCTCTACTCGGATCTGGGTGTCAATTTTTTTCGACACTTTTCCGTGTATTTTGTGCAAGAAAATGCAATAAAATCGTCTGCCTAAGAAAAATTGAATTTTTTTGGTCAGTTTTTTTGCTTTTGGATGCGTTTTTGGTCATAAAAAGGGTCTTCCTCTACTCGGATCTGGGTGTCAATTTTTTTCTACACTTTTCGGTGTATTTTGTGCAAGAAAATGCAATAAAATCGTCTGCCTAAGAAAAATTGAATTTTTTGCTTTCTCGTGGAGGAAGCTTTGTAGTCCTTTCGTTTATAAAATTTTTCAAAGTGGCGGAAACAAATTTTTTTCTTTATAGAAACATGTTATATGAGATCCTGATCAATTGTCCGGATGTATGTGTGTGTGTGTGTGTGGATCTCTTTTTTGTTTAGAAGATAACTTTAACAGGTTTTAATGGATTTAGATAAAATTTAGTAGGCTCATTTATCATATTAATATCTCAAATCTGACCAAAGGATTTTGAAAAATACTCCAAAAAAAAAATTTTATGGTCTTTTTTCCAAAAATTTTTTTTTAATCTAAAAAATTTTTAAGTAGAAAAATTTAAGGTTATATATAATAAAATCGTATTCTTTACGTCAAGACGAATCGATCGATATATATATAAAGTATTCATTTGAGGTAAATTTAAAGAATTAATGAAAGTTAAAAAATCAAAAATTCAGATTTTGATTATAAAATTTTGTGATTTTTTAAATTGAAGTTTATATATGAAATAATTGTATTCCTTACGTCAAGATGAATCGATCGATATATAAAGTATACATTTGAGGTAAATTTAAAGAATTAATGAAAGTTAAAAAATCAAAAATTCACATTTTGGCAATAAAATTTTGCTTTCTCCACGAGGAAGCAAATTTTTTTGCTGATCGTAAAGAGGAAGCAAAATGTTCATGTAATGAACATCTGAATTTACAACTTGTTTTAACCTGTACTTATTTTATTTGTTTAAAAATACTTATTTTTTGTTTGTATTTATTTTTCTAACTTTATAATTTTCTTGTTTATAAAACACTTGTTAAATTACATTCAATGTAAGTAAATGAAAAATAAAAAAAAATCCTATAACGAAATATTAAAAAATATATAAAGAGCTCGTCTTTGTATTATATGTGACGATACAATCAATCGTCGAGTAATTTTGAACTTCAACGCAGAAAAGGAATGTGAGCAAACCTTGATCGTTATTCAATGATAGAAATGTTTTAATAATTTCAATAGCGCCAAGGAATTTTGCGATTGTTGGAATTATCAATGGTATTTGTAGATTTGAAGTTATGCCATTCGGAATAGAAGGTATGTATGTAATTAACAATCAGGCTATCGCCGACATTTCATATCGCGTGGATTTCATTTACAAACGAAATCAGTACTGTTATTAAGACATAATTATAAATGTATTTCTATAAATATCCAATTGTATTATATGATTTAGTATTTAATTGGAGGTGAAACAATTTTTTTTTTATATATATTAGAATGGTTAAGAAAAAACAAAATTAACTCTTCGTAATTTCTTTCTCACACCATAAGTTTATTAAGCACAGTTGGCATCTGTAGCTAAATTATCGCTGTCTTGGCTTCGACAAAAACTTATTCACTAAGGCAAGACCAGAATAAAGTTATCATCTTCTTGGTACCACCACCTTTCGCTTGCACAAGCTGAAAACTTTCAACTTTCTAAATGCTTTATATGTATAAAAAACTACAACTCAATTTTCTAAAGTAAAAAAAATTACTTTAGGAATGCCAGATGAGTAACAAATTAAATTTACCAAAAAAAGTAATAAAAAAATTTTAATTGTTCCTAAATTTTTTTTTAAAGTATTGTAAAAAATAATTATTCTTTATTAAAAAAAAAAATTATTATTATTATTATTGTAATAAACTAGTAATTAATTTTAACTGAAAAATAATTCAATACTGTGCTAAATACACAGGTGAAATCTAAGTAGCCTATCAATAGGGGCATCCGCGCCCCTGTAGCACGATTTTTCTTTAAAGTTTTAATTTCTCTATTAATTTCCAATTAATTTTTCTAACTGAATCCCTAGATGTTATCACGTCAAAAAAAAACAACTAAATTTTTTGTAATAAAATTTTTCTCCAATAAATTAAAATATTTACCTTAATAACGAATTTTCAGCTTCATGATGATTTTCTTTTAAACTAAATAGCCCTCGGAGATCCCTACTTTCAAGTTAAATTTCCATTCAGAAAATGTGAAAAATAGACCGAGTTCTAAAAAGTCTAAATATGAAGAATTTTGTGTCCTTCAAGTCCTTTTTTACTTTCGTCCTTATCTTTAAAGTACGTGACACCACAAAACATCGAGGATAGAATCTGCAAAAAGAAAAATTGAAATACTATCAGCACTGTACTAACAAGTAGTTAAAATTTTAACCGGTCGGTAATATAGAAAGCCACAAAAAATTTCATTTATAAATTTGATAAAAATAAGTGCCTACTACAATAAAAAAAAAATAAAAATAGGATTATAAACTCGGTAAAAGGATTATTACAATTCGTGATAACAAATGTTAAATCATATACGAATAGGATTTATCAATACTGATATAGAAAATCTGAGTAAAATCTTATTCAAATATGCATTTACAATTTAAAACTCAATTTTGAATTAACCGCGAATTATATTTATAATACATTGATCCATTTTAATCGCCTTTACAGTCAATTAAAATCATGACATAATCATGTGATTTCGCCTTTATTTTAAAAAAGAAATTCAATGTAATATATAAATTTTAATTTCCTTAAATAATTTTTATAAATTCCCTAATTTTCAATAATGTTACAAAAAAATTATTGTTACAAAAATTAACTATTTAAAATATTAGTTTTTAATTTCAAATATGCGCAAGCGCACTTGTATTTATGCGCGCGCAATACGTTCGATAATTTCATTGGTTCTACATACTCGATAATAATTTATTTAAAAATAAAATACTTTTATCATATCTTAATTATCAAATTGTCTGAGTGTTTTGCAATTAAAAAAAGGAAAAATGAAGAGTAAACAGAAAATTCTCGTCTTCTTATTGCATAAACAAATTCAAATCAACAAATATCCATATTTAATACAATATGTTTCGAAATCGTCTAGTTGCGCACAACAACATCAATTTACTATTAGTGCTTATTTTTGTGATTCATCAAAATTTTTCTATAAAAATTGTCGAAATTCCATTTGAAATAATGACGCAAAGAATGGATTCTTTGGAAATACACGATTTAGAAGATATCAAAACTCCCATTGGAGTGGAATTATCAGGAAAATATAAACAGTAATTTTTCTCCTCTAACCTAATTCTATACATAACCTTAAAATTTTTAATTTTTTGAAAATTTTTATAATATATATATAATTTATAAACAAATAATTTTTTTTTTTCAATGAATTATTTAACTCTTTTTAATTGTCATTTTTAAAAAAAATTTAAATATCAAAAATTTATAACTTTTTTTCATTATGTAATAATTATAATTTATAATTGAAACAGGAGTTTTGGATACGAGACAATAAAAGATAGACTGCCAGTGATTGTAACAAAAATTATTGATACAATGAGTCGTGATAAAGAGGAAATAATTGATAAATATGGACCTGTAGGTTAATTTTATTTTACAATAAGAGAAATTAAATTTAAATAATTTTCTAATAGAAATAAATTTTTTTTTTACAGGGTACAGCCGAGGAAATTAAACACATAATTGGTTGTATTAGTAAAATGAAAAATGAAATGGTGACAAATAAAGAATTAAAACCACTAACATTATTGCCTGGAAATGATGATGAAGATGGAATTATTTGGAATAAATTTTTTGAAAAACGAACTGAAATTGAAGGGAAAATACCAACTTGGTATAATACAATTTGGTTATATTGTGAATGTTACATGTATCGGAGAATTTATCAGGAATTGGCCCTTACGTATGTTATATAATAATTATTTTTCTTTTAATATAAAATATATTATCTATTTCTATTTATTTCAGAGAACATCTTAAAACTTATGATCCTTTCGAAAAACAAAAAGTAACTGCTTTTAATAATTCAATAAACAGCATTAAAATTGTAAGCAAATTCACCATGGATTTAATAAATAAACACGAGGAACTAACACCAATTGAACGTAAAGAAGGATTCATTAAACTTTTAAAAATCAATCTTTGGGGAAACAAGTAATTATATTTTTTATCAAAAAACTTTCGATTTTTCCATTAAAACAGAAACAAGAGTAAAAAAAAAATATATATTTCAGATGTGATTTATCATTGTCTGGAGGTGCAGAATGTAGCGAAAGTGGAAATCCACTTGATTTTGTCAATATTTTTGAAAAAGATCTTCTAATAGATAATTCACAACTTCTATGGGATTTACTAAGTAAAAAGAATGATGGTATTGTTGACATTGTTTTAGACAATGCAGGTTACGAATTATTCACCGATTTAAGCTTTGCAGCTTTTATAACATCTGAAAAACTCACGAAAAAAATACGATTCTACGTGAAACGTTATCCATGGTACGTGAGTGATGTAACGTTAAATGATTTTCATTGGACAATTGATTCTATGAAAAATTCATCTGATGAAAATTTAAAATCATTAGGCGAAGTGTGTCAAAATTATTTAACAAAAGAAATTTGGACAATAGAGGTAAATTATAATTTGCTTTAATAATATTAAAATTTTTAATTAAATAAATTAATATTTTCTTTCTAGGTGGAAAAATTTTGGACTGAACCCTATACATTTGATGAAATAAAAAAACGTGATCCATCACTTTATGCAAAATTTTCCGAAGCAATTTTAGTAATTTTCAAAGGTGATTTGAATTATCGAAAACTTTTAGGTGATATTAATTGGGAATACACTAAAGATTTTGCTGAAGCTTTAAGGGAATTTAAACCAACAAATGTTGCAAGTTTACGCACAATAAAATGTGATATTTGTGTTGGATTGGCACCTGGTCAAGCGGAAGAAGTTGAAGAAAAGGACAAAGATTGGTTGTTTACTGGTAAATATGGATTAATTCAAACAACTCTAGATAGCAAGTGCAATTAATTACAAAAAAAGTCAATTAACTTTGAGAACTTAAAAATTAAACTTCTTTATATCATGAATATTTTCAAACAAATAATATATTTAAAAAAAAGACCAATTTCTCTGTAAATTAAACTGCCAATAAATATTTTATTGAACCAAAGAAGCATGGATTTGATGTGTGTAATTTAAAAAAAGTATAAATGTGAAAGTACTTTTACAACATTTTATTAGATTCGATTGTAATCTAAAGCTTAATAATAATAATAATAATAGTAATAATAATAATGATTATGTTATAATTTATAAGTAACGATTATTTGTAAATATTCTATCTTCGAATATATCTTGCTCTAATAATGTTTGTACAATTATCTATAGATATAATTTGTATCAAATGAAAGTAAATAACATTTAAATTTAATAAAAACAGATTATATTCGTCTTTTCATGTTATAATTATTATTGCATAATTACTTCTCATTATTATTTTTTTTTTTGACTTTAAAAAGTCTCTCATACTTGTTTCTTTTTTTTTTTTATCTTATACTGTACAGAAAAATTTTAAACTACAACTATACATTATATTATATAAAATTCATTTTTCTTTCACACGCTCACACTGAACAGAAAATCTAAAAAAAATACTATTTTTTTAAAAAATATCTCAATATTGTGTAGATGAAAATGAGAATAAGACTTTGAAAAAAATACAACTTAAAAAATGAATGAATTTTTTGATTTCGTATTATCAGTTCTTTTAAGAAAAAAAATAAATAAAGAATAAAAAGTTGTAGTTTTACTTAGGCAAAGTTATCTTAAATGCAGAATTAAGATTTCTTAATCTTAATATATTATAAAACGATATTCGTTTGATCTTAAAGATTTTATCTAATTATTTAATGAATTTAAAGTATTTATTATATTTTTATATTAAACACAATAACATTCATAGTAACGATGATTTAAAATAAATGTTACCAGACCAGTCTAATTCTCACTTTTTACACAAATTTTTTTTTTATTTCGTCACTCGCCAAAGGCCATGTTAATTTTTAATTTCTTATTGTAAATTAGATTTACAATTTAATGCCCTGCACTAAATTTCAATTCGACTTTCAATAAAATTTATCAATAAAGATATGTGAAAAATACGATAAAAATCGAATCATCTGACTTTAGCATTTATTAATTAATTAATTATCACTTATTAATAAATATAAAATAAATGCCTAGTCAGTAAGAATTCAAAATTTCAATATACTTATATCTATTTATTAGGTAAATTGTCTATAAATACTGTCAAATGTTTATTGAGTTAATTTATCAGTTATGAATTAAAATTTTCTGAAATTCTTTATACTATACAAAATCAAAAAAATTTTGGCACTATTATCATCAAAAATAATTTTCAAATGAAATCAAAGTAAATGCAATTCATAATAAAGAGAAAAAAAAAGACTGATTAATTAATTGAATATTGTTATTTATTATAATGACATGGTTTTCATTGACGAACAACAAAAAAAAAAAAATAATAATTCATTGAATTAAACAATGTCTATTTAATAAGCTAAATCTAAGCATCAATAATATTTTACAATTGTCCAAAGTTGAGTTGTTTAAAAATTTGTTTAATACACAAATATTAATGGCATATAAATAAAGTATATACATTTAATTCAAGCGAGAAGAAACGGACTATATATTTAATAAAAAAAAAAGAGAAATTTCAATTCTTCAATTATTTTTGAAATACATTTATCAGGCTATAAAACAAAACATTGAGCTTCAAAAAATGATCTTTTCGAAATATTTTTAAAATGACTTATTATTTTATATTGAATTTAAAATTATTAAAAGTCCATTCTTTTTCCTCGTTGAATACAAAAATTATTTTCTTCTCTCTAATTCGATGTCTCGTTTTAATAATTGCCATTTAACAAAGCCAACATATTAACATTCGTCTATCGATAAAGAAATAAGAACAAAATAAAAATCCAGCAAAACTTAAAAACTGATCGAAATTGAAATTTATCATGGCACAGTCACACTTGAATAATTTTTCAAAAGCAAGATTGCCAGTTTTTTGATTTTGTGTGAGATAAAGCATTTTTTCAAAAGTTTAAATTTGACTTTCATTATTTTTCACCTCTATGACATTCAGTGCCATCTGTAAATTTTTATTTATACAGATTTCTTTTCTCTTTTATGCATCTGCATTTACTATTTTTTTTTTTTTTTTTGATTGCTGGCAACAGTGCCTTGAAGGCAATTCAATCCATTTATTGATTCATTCATATATCGGGCGGGGAGGGACTATTCAGTACAATGTCTTAAATTAGAAAATTAAAAGACGTCTAATCTAAAAATTTCTTTACAGGAATACAGATTACTTCGATCGTTATTTTTTTTTTCTTTAATCGTAGTAAACAATATCATCGACAGACGATCCAAAAGTTTTTTTTTTCTTTTTCATTTTTCAGCCTAAGTATAGAATGGATGAATCTTTTTTTTTTTTTTATATTCCTAGAAAGTGTTACTTGGTAAAGGCAGCAAACACAGCCCAAAGAACAGGTTTTGCATTATTCTTTACAGCTTCTGCTTCAAAATCTAAATCAAGCAAACTTCGTACTCGTTTCATTGCCACTTCATAATCATCATCCGATAATGGAGCAAAAGCATTTTCAAGTACATCTGCTGCATGAGCTAAAATAATTAATGGTAATATTCGTCGATCCATTCGAGACGCATCATTCACCCAGCGGCTTAAAACTGCTTCTTGAATCTAAATAAAAATTAGCCTCATTAATATTTTATCCCTAATTAAATTTAATATCAAATTTTAATTTAGTTTACTTATCAAATTTAAATCTTTAGAATTAAAATACCTTTTTAACAAGTCTCGTTTTAGCGAGATTATCTGTAAGTGGATGAGTTGTCATATCGAAAAGGAGAAAGTTTTGTTTTTCAGTAGTGAGAACTCCTTTTTCTACTAAATTTTTTGCTAACCTTTCCCTCACATTCTTTAATTGATATTTCAACTTCAGAGGGTTCCATGTTTCGCCTTAAAAAAATACAAACATTAAAAAACCAATAATAAAGTGAAAATTTTGCTTTTTTTGTTATCAAAGTTAAATTGATGAGTTAATAAATAAAAATGAGACTAACCACTAAGATACTCGATCCAACTCTGCACAGTTTCAGGTGGATCAGTTTCTTTTACGTGTTTCAAAGCTTCATCTAGCAAAACGTCACCAGTTGGATCACTATTTTTTAAGACAAGTTTCCGAGATAGTAATCCTCTCTTTCGCATTCCAGCTTTTTCTAATTCAACTCGACCTCGAAGACCAAGTTCTGCTAAGATGCAACCACGAAGACCGGAGCTTATACAATCATTCCAGAATGACGTGTATCCCTAAAAGAAAATCATTTTTTTTTTTATTTTTCTACGAAACAAATTTAACATCATTTTGGTCAAAAAAAAGTAAACTTACGAAACTAAAGAATGATTTATTGTTTTGAAGAGTTCAGTGATAGGGAAACAGGAAGTCGAAAATGAAAAGCCACAAGGTTAATCGATGCTCAAGCCCACTAATGTTTATAACCACTTCACAAAATAAAAATTATGTACTACGTATGTACATATATAAAAAATATAAAAATACATAAAACGATGAAAATGAAAAAAGCAATTCATGCGCAACATTTATTTATTTTTTTTTTAATAGAAAAAAAGAGATGTTTATATAAAGAGAATAGATAATAAGAAATATGTGAAGATGCTTTGATCTTAAAAGTGAAAGTGAATAGCTCAAGGTTTAATGACAGAATTAAATGCATTAAATCTATTATATACAAAAATTAAATTCAAATCTCTTTCAAATAATCTGAATTTTTTTTTTTTGCAAAATATTTTCTTATTCAAAAATATTCTATGAATAATGATTCTAAGGTTATTTACAAATGATATACAATCAAATAACTTTAGTAATTTTTCCATCTAAGGTAAAAAAAAAAATATGAAAAATACCAAAGATATATGATTGATTTTTCTATATATGCATAATGGCAATAATTTAAAAATCCCTGCGATTACAAATAGGTATGTAAATGAATATAAGAGAAAAAAAAATTGTTATTTCATTGATAAAAATTTTACGACAATTGCAATCGATTATAATTAAAATTTTTCTCTTGAATATGCACTATTATATATGTATATACAAATCAAGTTCACAGAGATTTTTTAATGATGATACAATCAAATGACTGACACGAAATGAATTTTATCTGTCGTATGCTATAATAGGAATGTTAATTAATGTGTAATCGATAAAAAAAAAAATTGTTAAGGACTATGCGATATTAAGTTATCACATAAAATCTACTTCGTAATGATATATTACATTCAGGTGCAAACTACCAAGAATTGAATAATTTATCTTATACGATTATTTAAAGTCATTATAGATCCTTTTTAAAATATTTTAGTTAAAATTAAACTTTTTTTAATTTCACAAATTTGATTTTTAAATTTGTCACTGATTTAACTCTATTCTTTAAACAAAAAAAAAATATATTTTTCTTAAACACGTGCGTTTGTTGTACTTCAAAACACTAGAATGTTATCATGTTATAAAAACCAAAAAATGCTTCAACGTGTCAAACTATTAATTATTCTTTTCTATTGTCACATATTTTTATCAAATTTATATCAATTCATGATGAAATATTAACAGTATATTGACAATGATAAAACTGACATTTAAATTTTTCCTGAAAAATTCTTTCATAAGGAAACGCAAAACAATGCATAAAACGATTACAAATTATAATAAAAAAAAACTGTATCAATATTTTTAAAATTTCGCCACTAATATTGATATTTGAAAATATAAATATTTGTAAATACAAAATATATAATTTTAATAATTTCCCAGTCTTTAAATAATTATTTGTATGATTATAAAAATATGGGGAAACACACGAAACGACAGTTTAGATAAAAACTATTGTTAATGTCACATAACAATAGTTCATATATTCAGGAAATATAAATTGATAACAAACCTCCTTATCTTTGAGCCCTAATAGCAGAACTTCTTCCATAAGTGTCAATCTAGTTTCCTTGTCAGAATCCTCATCAATTGTGGGATTTGAATTAAGGTCATTTTGTGAGGAGCTGTCTGCATCCATATTATGACCTGACACCTTATCAGGATGTCCTCCTGCTTCATTGGAACCATCCTGATCGGGACAGCTACTGTTCACTACTCTACGTCGTTGAACAAGACCGTCACCACGATACATCACGAAAAAATATTTATTTTATTCACACGCGAAAATATCACAATTTCCTATAGCACCGAAACTAAATTGAAACGTTATTAAGAAATATACAATGCATGTGTCGCGAGATAAACACTATTCTGTTGACGTCTGTTCACACTCGACATATCTTTTTCAAGATGGCCAGATCACTTCCTATACAACTGTATTCTTTCACAACACACAAATAATAACTCAATTAAAAGCTATTCAGAAAATAAAATCAATTATTCAAGTTTAAATTTAAACTATTGACAATGTGTCAGCAATTTTTGTGCACAAAAAGATTCTTTATTCCAAATAAGTCAATATTGAAAAATCTCTTTAAAATGTCTCCAAAAAAAAAACCACTGAACACCACGACTGATCACTGACAAGTGTGAAGTTCGTTCGAGAGTAAGTCTAGCGATTACTCGCAAGGTGGAGTACCAACTTCACAATATTGCCACGTTTACAAATAAAATTATTAATTAAATATATTATGATATTATTTTCTTTGCAAATAATATAAAACAAAATTTTATCAATTTTAAAAGATTATTAAATATATTTTTAATCAAATTTATATCATTTCACTTTAAATCAAAGAAAACATTCTGCCAACTAGTAAAAGAAATATTAATAGGGCGGGAATAAAATATTTTTGAATTGAAATTACATATTTCCAACGTTGTTGTCAATGATTTTTAAATTTTATCAAAAAGACATTAAAATATTATTCTCAATATTTGTAATATTTTGTTATTTACTTTACTAATTTATCATGTTAGAAGTTTTAGAAGTCGATTAAATATTAATATGAATCACGTGACCCGTTTCAATTCTCGTTCCGTTTTTACAATAGGCGGGAAATTTGAACGCTTTTTGTAATTATTTTTACTTTATTCCAATTTTCTCCTATTGTTTATATAATATTTCTTTTTGACGACATTAGTATTAAATAATTATTATTTTTATTAATTAATTAAACAATTTATCGATTATTTATTTTTGGAACAATTAAATTTTTTGTTTTTTAATTAAATAAACAAAATAGTTTTAAAAAATAATGACAATAATAATAATAAGAACAATAATAATAAGAATAATAATAATAATAATAATAATAAAAATAATAATAAAAATAATAATAAAAATTATAATAAAAATAATAATAAAAATTATAATGAAAATAATAATAAAAATAAAAACAATAATTTTTGTTCTTAAAAAAAGAAAACGTTTAATTATAAAAATTGTAATTTTCTTTTCCTGTAGTGAAACGTATTTAATTGTTTTTTTTTTATAGAAATAAGACTGAAAATATAAAGTAAAGCGGAGTTCATTAGGTCATAGACACAAGTATTACAGGCATTTAAGAAAAATTGTGAAAAACTGGAAATTCCACTTTCTCCTGATGAAAACATGACTTATTCTAGGTATCTAAATTGTTCCTTTCTAATTAACATTCGTCTTTATACAATGAAGAAGATTGCAATTATTTTTTCGCTAAAAAAAGAAACAATTTAATTTTCCAATAGTTAACAAATATTTCGTATTATTTAATTAGAATAATTGTTCGATTGTTGTTTAATTAGAATAATTGAAGAAAAATTTGGAAAATTTCAATTAAAAATGATTACAGAAAGATTATATTTATTTTTTTCTTTATTTTTATATTATTTATAAATAAAAGAAATTGTTGTAAATTAGCAATAAAAAACTATTATATATTATTTTTATTTTATTTTTAATTTTACTTTTTAATTTTATTATTATTATTATTTTTTTACATATTTTATTTTTAATTAATAATTTTTAATTTTTAATTAATAATTATTCGATATAATTATAAATAATTATTAATTAAAAATAAAATTCTTGTAATATGTAATTTTATTTCTTTTGAGTAAAATATTTTTAAAAAAAACTAATAAAATATGTTTATCATTTTTTTTATTCCGTTGTATGCAAAAATGATGGTTTTTGAGAAATTTTTTTATTATCATTCATCATGAAAGTTAAATTACAGCTTGCTATACGTGAAACATTAATTTTGATATTTAAGTATATGCATGTTCGTATTTTTAAAGTACCAATATTTATGAAGTAAAATGCATTCTTTGCCGATGCGTGACAAAGGTCCCACGTTTGCCCGATGTGTAACTGTTTCATGAAACCGATTTAAGAACAAGTAGGTAAGAGTAAACTTAGACTTTGCACAATTGAATTCAGCAGGTGCATATTTCACCGCCAGGTACGATATAAATATATTTTCCAGGGTCACAAACCATATCAATGAGGGTTCAAAAACATTTATTTTTAAATAAAAACCATATAGCGATTAAAAAATATTTTCATATTTTTATTTTGCAAAAAAAAAAAAATTAAATAAAATCTTCTATTAAAAATTATATTTTTTTCAAAGAAGTTAATTTTCTATAATTGAATATTTTTTATTATTTATATAATAATTTTTTTATTGTATTCACTGTCATTGACTCGAAAATGCGAGTTAACGAACTTTTTATTATAGTGTGATAAAAAAATATTTTCGAATTCTTTGCGTATATTGTTATCAGTTAAAGTAATTGAAAATACAAAATGATAAGTAAAAAAATAAGAACGTTTCAATATTTTATTAAATAATTAATTAATTTTTGTTAATTTTAGTTTCTTATAAATATATATTATTCTGAAATTAATTTAATAAGAAGTTTTGTAAAAAACAATTTTACACCAGGTGACAAATCCTTGATAAAAAATTTACAAGTCTCGAGGACATGTATAACGTGATATAGTTGATAATAATGTATATATATATATAGTGAGGATATATCCTCTGTCAGGGTTAATGACTGAATCAATGTTTATGTAAATTATACAAAATTAACATTCGAAGTAAATTGTCGCTTCCTGGTTTTATTTTCACACTATTTTCCTTTTATTATAATAGAGAATAAAAAAGATTCTTTGTAATTATAGCGCAACTATTTTAAATACTCCTTTTCTATATACACTAAAAGGGACGATAATTATTTTTTAACATGATTTATTATTTCTCTACTAATAATGATAATTTCAAATAATAATTTTAAGATTATTTTCACTTTAACGTGATAATTATTTATTAAAAGATGATTCTTGTTTTTAAGATGAAAATCTATAATATATTTTCTGAGAAGTTTAAATATAACGCGAAAAAGTTTTTTTTTCGTAATTCATTATATGTCGAGACAAAAGACGCGATATTATTAAAATCTGTATATAATTAACTGCAGACAATATATAAAGAACGATAAAATTAAATTACAAGGATTAAATTTTAACATCTATATGAATCAGGTTTTTGTGCGGGGAAAATAATATATTAACTATTTCCTCTAAATCGTAAAATATTGGTTTTAACATCATCAAAAATGATTTCTATGAAAAATCAAGGAAAATAAAAGCTGCTCTTTCAGATTATAAGGAATATATATTTATTTAATGTGGCATTTTCACATTTTATAGTTACAATTATCCACTAATTATTTTCTCGTTTATGTACTTTCTTATACAAAGGATAATATTTAATAATGTACTCTCAATTGTCTCGTTTCGTAACCAACTGTAAAACATACTTTAAATGTTATTCAAAAAAAAATTAATATTAATTCTATTTTTTTGAAAATTATTTTTATAATAAATTATTTTATTTACAATTGAAAAAGAATTACATATAACTAGCAATATTAAACGCGCGCAAGCGCGCCAACTTGAGTATTTACTTGTTTGTTATAAAGAAATTAAAGATTAATATTATCAATAATAATTTAAATTTATTAGAATATTATTTCATATTAAATTATAATAATGAAAATTATTATTATATGTTATTAAATTATATATAAAATTGAATTATTTTCCAAATTTTCAATTTAAAATTCAATTATTTACCAAGTTTTCAATTTAAAATGAAATAAAATTCAATTATTTTTTAAAATTTTTATTCAAAATTAATTATCGAAATTTTCAATTAAAAATGAACTTAAATTAAATTATTATCGAAAATTTCAATTAAAATTCAATTATTACCCGAAATTTTAATCCAAAATCAACTTAAATTAAATTATTATCTAAAATTTCAATTAAAATTTTATTATTTTCCAAAATTTCGAGTCAAAATTAATTATTATCAAAATTTTCAATCAGCAATCAACTAAAATTAATTATTTTCAAATTTCCAATCAACAATCAACTAAAATTAAATTATTTTCAAATTTTCAATTTAAAATTCAATTATTTACCAAGTTTTCAATTTAAAATAAAATAAAATTCAATTATTTTTTAAAATTTCTATTCAAAATTAATTATCGAAATTTTCAATTAAAAATGAACTTAAATTAAATTATTATCCAAATTTTCAATTAAAATTTTATTATTTTCCAAAATTTCGAGTCAAAATTAATTATTATCAAAATTTTCAATCAGCAATCAACTAAAATTAATTATTTTCAAATTTCCAATCAACAATCAACTAAAATTAAATTATTTTCAAATTTTCAATTTAAAATTCAATTATTTACCAAGTTTTCAATTTAAAATAAAATAAAATTCAATTATTTTTTAAAATTTCGATTCAAAATTAATTATCGAAACAATGCCAAAAAAACATTGAAAAATTTTAACCAACACAAAATAATGTCAAACAATACATTTAAAAAAAACAAAAGACCTATAACAAATACTAACTTCAGGTGTGGACAGAATGAACGAAATATATTCACGATTATTATATGTAATTTGCAAAATCATAGAAAATTAAAAGGTATTAAAATAAGCTGCAACGCTTATTATTTTAATCCAATTTTGCTTATTTTAATCCATTTTCGTATTAAAATAAGCAAAATTGGATTAAAATAATAAGCATTGCAGCTTATTTTAATGGCTTTTAATTTTCTGTGATAGTTTTCTCAGCGCAAATATAATACTTTTGAAAGACAAGCTTGCAACAAAAAAAAAAAAAAAAAAATTAGGATCAACAAAATATGAAATTCAATACCAAGGAGGGAATTTAATTATATCCCGAAATATAAAGCAGGTCCTATGGTTATAATGAAAAGGGGGGAAAAAAAAACCCGAGGGGTTGAAAATAAGGTTCAGAATAAGATCGATTGTAAAGTGCATATGGAGGGACCATATAACGATTGTTTCCCGTAGCTTTCAATGTCAACGGTTGTAATGCAACCACTACTAGAGTGGGAGAGTTTGGACTGGAAAGAGGTAACGATGGAGGAGACATTCAGTCTTTCTGGCCTGCTCGGTCGAACTGCAGCACATAAACTCGATGTCTTTTTAATTTTCTCGGATTTTGTGTATTTTTTCAAAAAAATAAATAAATTTATTCTTTATAGTTACTTGAAATAATATTTTTTTTTTGAGTGCAAACACCTGGATATTATTTGTCATCAAAATTCTTCAAATTATGCACACAACATCCAATGAGATTTAATCCAAGGCTTGCCAAACAGGTACAAAATCCATGATTCACACACACATATATATATATATATATATAAATTCTACCTTTATAAATAATTGTGAAAAGAAAATAAGATATCTGGAAACAAGAAATGAACTTTCGTCGCTGGAAAGTTCAATAGACCAGAAAAGTTCAGAGATCGCTTATTATATAAGGACATTATTTTATATATAGACAATTTAAAAAAATGTATTTTTTTCAAGAATAAAATATTTAATCAATATTTTTTTTTTATTATGTAATGAGTTGGAAAAATGTCAAACATTTACAGTTTCTTGATGATGATGATGATTCTGTGGTGACACCAAAGACATAAATCAATTGCAGTCATTATTTAGTTATTTGTGTTATAAAAAGCTTGTTTTTAACACTAAAAATAACAATGTGACTCAGTTTACATTCTTTCAACGTTTATTATCATTTCACTTTGTTTTTATAATTTTTTCAATGTGGAAAAATTGCAATCAGAATAAGAATTATTTTTACTTCCTATCGCAATTTAAGTGAAAAGTTTCTTATTTTCACAGAAAATTAAAAGGCATTAAAATAAGCTGCAACGCTTATTATTTTAATCCAATTTTGCTTATTTTAATACCAAAATGGATTAAAATAAGCAAAATTGGATTAAAATAATAACCGTTGCAGCTTATTTTAATGCCTTTTAATTTTCTGTGTTAATGAATAGAGTCTTTATTTTCAGTAGAAAATTATTTTTTAACGAATTTTTGAATTTTAAATAATTCTCAATTTGGTTTATTTATTATTTGACTGCAAAAACTAGCCGTCTTAAAAGTCTTGTTTTAAGACACATTTGGTGTCTTAGACGCGAAAAACGTCTTAAAACAAGACATTTTTTGGCCAGTTTTTACAGTATTATTTTTATTATTTATTATCCGGAAAATTTTTCGCTCCTCAATTTTAAGCCACTTAAAATAAGATTTTATTTTCTTGCACCAAAAAAAAAAAACCGATTTCTAAACATTTGCAAAAGATAAATTTTATTATTACCAAAATTTATTAAAGAATTCCGATATACAAAATACGATATAGAGTGTGAAATCAATATAAAGATTAAAATCTTTAATCTCTATCGCAAAATATATGGGTGAAAAAAAAACACAATGCATTTTCTGGATTATTTCATCCGTATATATATATATATATATATATATCGCCCTGGCAGTTATGAGATATATTCGCATAATATAATCCAAATATTGTGTAAAAGTGCTGAAAAAAAACGAGAGTTTTCACGTAACAATTTCATTGAGATATCTATATGAGTGTTCGGGGGCAATGAATTCGCGCTTGTTATTCGCGAGGGAAACTATGGGAACATCGTCTAATCATAATTTATAATTAAATTACCAAGAGCTATAGGCCATCTTAAATTAATTATGAGAACTACCGGTTTCATCGTTCGATTTCGTCTTTCATAAAATTATAATACTAAAAAGTACGATGAAGTTCAACACGGAAATCATTTTTCTGATACAATATGAGTTTATGAAATTTTTTTTTTTTTCAAAGGAAAAAAAAACCAAAATAATTTTTATTTAGTAAAAATAAATATTAATTATTACTAATAATAATTAATATTTAATAAAATATTAATTTTTATTATAATTAATATTTAATAAAATATTAATTTTTGTTATAATTAATAATTAATAAAAAAAATATTATTAATTAAATTGACCAACTGTAAAAATTCCAAGTATAAATATAATTATATCTCCAAACGTTTTTCTATATTAAAATAGATGAAATTTAATATTATTTTATTAATTTCATTTCAAAGAAATGTTTTATTTTCTAATAGTGATCGATAGAAAAATTTCTTTGTGTTTTTTTTTTTTCTCTCTATCTTCCATTATTTTAATAGCACCCAATTAGTTTCTTATTGGATTTTCCACGAGCGTGATAAAAAGAGAGTAGTTGTAAAAATTTTCATGTCATCCTCTTTACAATTATAGAAGAATGATTTATAACGTTCATAAGATAAAAGTTTATTGTATATATATGTTGTAATACTCGCGGTATTTCGTAATTAAATTTTACACAACGATGTAAACTGTGTGTTTTGTGGTTAGAATTAAATCCGATTACGAAATTTTATAATTAGATATAAATAATATCAATACTGTTTTCTTTTTAATAAAGGAAAAAATGAGAAATTTTCTATTTTGCAATTTTTCAATCGCAAATTTTAAAAATCTTTCGAGCTAACAGTGAGTCATTCACTATATTAGATAAGGTGCGATTCGGTGATTTATAGTTTAAGCAATTAGTTCAATATATATATATATATATACAGAAAAGTGTGTTGGTGTGCTCAACCAGTTGAACGTTATCTTCTTGACTGAATTTACGAGCTTCTAGAGTATTTCCTGAAGAAAATTGCATTTTGTGTCTTCCTGGTTCCTATTGAAGGATTTTTTTTTCTTACTATTTAAACAGTTACGCCTCGTTTAATTCTAATAAAAAATAATTTTCGGCAAATAAATTTTTTTTTATAAAATAATTTTCGATTTTTTACTTTCTTTAATTTTTATATTTTTTTTTTCAACTAAGGAAATTAATTTTAATAACAAAAATTGAAGTTTTTGATTATAATCTTTGTTCATTGAGAGAAGGAAAGAGTAGTAGTAAAAAGTAATAAATATATATATAAGGAATCTTTGGTGCGGGTAAGATGAAGAATGGAAAGATGAGACATAGGACGAGGACGATGAAAAAGAACGGTACCTTTCGTCGTCAAGTATTTTCATACAAACACTTACGTTCTTACCGATCTTTGCGCTTGCTCTTATCGTTCACTACGTTTTTACGAGACATCGTTAAACCGTCGTTGAAACGCCAGGAAAGTCGATTTAACAACGGTCACAAAATTTCGTCTTTACAATGCGCGCACTCGAAAAATAACGGCGGTAACGGCTCTCATATATATATATACGATTTGCGATTCTTTCACCGAAAAAAAAACCTCACAAATCTCGAGAAAAAAATATTCAATTCAAAAAAAAAAATTAAATCTTTTTGTTCTTTATATAATTTTACGTTAATCAATATTTTAAATGACAAATATAGATCAATATTTCTGTCATCGATAGACAATAGTGAGATTGAAATAATAACATTGTTATTATCATTTTACAAGGAAATCAATTTTTATGAAATCTGATTGACAAGTTGTGTTTTATATCTATTTGCAAATATTTTGCAAAATTGCAATGACACATTTTTCGAGTATTTCAAAATTAAAAAATTAACTTTTTGTATTAAGTTAACGGAAAGAATAATTTTTTATTTTTAATTAAATTTTTGAATTTTTATATTATAAAAAATTTTTGAAATTTGATAATTTTGAAAAAATTTGTCAAAACTAAAAAAAAAGATGCTATCACTGTTAAAGAAATGTTTCTTTTTAGATTAATATTTTATTATAATAAATATATACGTTTGCGCATATCAAGACACACTGTTCTAAAGATATAAATATATATTTGTACAAAATGATAAGGCACTTTAAGCATAAATTTTACAAAACTACATATGTATATACATATACGTTAATAAAATTACTCAAGATATGTTCAACAAACACCGTTTTTCAAACGTCAGGGAAAGGTAGCTCTTGATATAAAGTATATCAACTGATCTAATTTTAGCATATTAAGACATTTTTTTTTTTTTCTTTGATTATAAATTACAATAATTAACATATTTCTAATATCACTTTCAAATAGTATATTTATTAAAATATGAAAATAACTGACGCGTAAAATTATTTAACAAATTAAAATAAACAAAAATCGATTATTAAAATAATTAATTGCCCTAAATGTCAAAATTAAAAAAAAAATTACATTAATTTTTCTTTTATTTAAATTTATTTGCGAGAAAATAATTTTTCCTTTGGATTTGTGTTTCAAGTCAAAAGATTCGCCACAGCATCAAAGGGATAACTAAAAGCGCATTAGTCACACATAATATGCAAATTAGTTGAACTAAATTGCACTAAATGAATATTATTCTTGTTCCTGCGCTATATATATGTGTATATAATAATCGTATATATACTTTATCGCAAAATCTTGAATTATGAAAAATATGAATGATGTAAAAAATTAAAAAAATACGAATATATATAGTGGTGGTTGATTATTATGCGCGATCGCGTGCATTCTTTGATGGTTTTGATAAACTGCGTCGGCATTCGTTATTAATTTTAAAAGATCGATGTCCACCTTCATTTCGATCGCCTTTTCCATATATATATATATATATATATATATATATATATATATATATATATATATATATATATATATATATATATATATATATAAACGCGAAAAATTGTTATCTTATAAATTCTACTATATTGAAAGGAGGCAATTATGTATACGCGAATTTTCAATAAGGTGCCAATTCCACCCAATTATTATGTAATATGGTGAAAGTTTATAAGAATAAAAAAAGGAATTTTACTCTCTACACCCTCAAATTTCTCCAAATTGACATTGACCTTATTTCGAGATTCACTTTATACTTTTTGATTCATTCCCAGCGCATTTTAATAATTTTTTTTACACACCAATTTTACCAATAAAAAAATTTGTTTTTTTAATAAAATAATTTTTCCATATTTTCACTGAAAAAAAAAATTTATTTGGTTCAAATACTCGATTACTTGACTATTATCAACTAAATATTTATTTGTATCAAATAATTATTATTTGAGACAATTAAATGGTATTTGTTTCAAATACAGAAATTATTGGTTCAAATACAATTTTTTGTACAATTTATTTAATTCAAATAAAAATTATTTGGTTCAAGTAAATATTTATTTGATAATAGTCAAGTATAATCGAGTATTTGAATCACACTGTTAAAAATCGGGCTTCAACTTTACACTAAAAAGATTGAAATAATATATTTTCAATCCAAAAAGTGTAAATATTTGCATATCATTGGTTGGAC